TTACTTATAAAGATGTTAACTGTACTGCCCAAAATGTTTTCTCCTTAAAGAGATCTGTATTGTTATATACAAAGCTATGTGTATTTAAAATATGCTTAATCAAAGTGTTACTGTTTGTTTTCAGTTGATAGGATGGCTAATGGTATATTAGAAATATCAACATCCATCTACTTAGGCTATATGAATCAGAAAGACCTAGGCATGTCTTTTTCCGTCCCAGCCTAGTTAATAGATAACTAACCATCTGTTATAACTGTCTGACTTGAAGCGAGGGTAAGTATAAAATGCTGACAATTCAACACCAATGTTCAAGGATTATCGTCCAGTTTTATCAATCACGGTAATTGAAATACGAAGTTGAGTCAGGGAGCTGAATGTAATCCCATCTGACTTAGCTGAACCGCTGATAATCTCACTCCATGGCGAAGAACTGATGAAGTTAGACATAGGGTACTAGGAAAATATGCCAGATCGGTTGGTGAGGCTGTGAATTTTCATCAACTGTGGTTGGGTCGTGAGTTCCATTTGACAAATCGCCTCGTATTTCAACATATTATGTTGGCTGGTATAGGAGTAGGTTAGAAGGAAATTAAAGGCAGATTAATAAGCACCGTGTTCTTGAAAAAGCAGTATTTCACTCACTCAGACAACATCTGAACAGGATTAAGCCAACTTGGTTCTTTTGTCTTTTCCTATAAGGAGGTTTTCAGCTGGTTTTCGCAAAGTACGAAGATGCATAAGTTTCATTCTATTAGATCAAAACATAGAATCAATGTTACTTCAAAATTGGCATTATTTCGTGTTTAGAAAATCGACTAAATAAAACACAACTTTTCTGCCTTTCTTAGTACCTAGTTTCGTAAGCAGTTAATCCAGAACCATGATCCTGTCAAAGCTGGTAGAAGCTGTGACAAAGTGTTGTGGGTTTCCTATCTTTAAGGAAGGGTAATTATTGAATTATATACCGGTCTGGGAATTTTCGTGTTCTGTACACATAGTGTGATGGTAAAAATAGATTACCTCAAAATAGTCACAGTTGTGTGCCATACTACTACAATAATTATAGGAGTACATGACTAGTTAGACATATATCAATTGTATTTCTAAGTGGACACTTTTTTTGTAAAAAATCTTCTGTGATTGATTTAGTATATCCTTGACAAAGCAAGCTATTCCATAAATATATTAAGTGGCGTGTAAATACGGTATGGTGTATATGCAGTGGCTTTAAGTTATAACCGTGGTTGGCCATATGTAACATAAGTCAGCTTAGTCATTAGGCTCCTAACCAACCAATGACAAGGTTTTAAATTACTCTGCCTACCTCTATTTTTTGACGGTTAGATGTTGTTGATAATCAGCACACAGTAAGTGAGAATTAACTTACACTTAGTTACTGTTCATCATTGTTGGTCTTTGGTTGAAACGAAAGAAGGAAAAAAGATTTATAAAAAACTTGCGAAACTGTTTAGGACATACGTTAGTATGCTTCTTATTCGTATTCATTAAATAATTGATCTAGTTGTAAGATATTTTGACACACTAATTTTTACTTTATCTCAAGTTTCGTTCAATTAAGTAATCCATGTACTTCTGAACTTCACGTCAAAAATGTCTTATCTATACACGTAATGCGATTTACTGTACTGGTACATTGTGTTCTGTTATCTTAAACTATGTAAAAACGTAATTAGTGAGTTTAAAGTAATACGACTTAAGTTGTTGTTCTTCTGGTTGATGGGCTGACAATAAGTAAGTTTAGCATGAATCTATTGATCATGACAAATAGTGTGTCGTAAAGAACTAATTGTTAGTGCTCATAGACGAAGTACATGCAATAGGCTTTTTCGCTTCATAAAGAAACAAGAATTCAGTGTCACTCTATATACACACGGAACATCACGAAAATTTAGCGAATGAAAAAAGCAAAGTTTTATGAAATCATAGTGAAGTCAAATATGTTATGCATAGTGATATTTCAAAGTGTAGATTTTAGTTTGAAACTGCACATTTTTTATGATGGTAACTCATTGTTCATATGCTAATAAATGCTACCTGCTTTGTTATCTAATTAACAATGTTGTAATGCTAAGGTTGTTGTTACGAAGAATAAAACGATTACTTATTCATGTAAACCAATTTCGCGAAAATACTTTTCACACGTTTTCCTTCTAAAACCTTTAGTTACCTTGTCCCAAAGGATTCGCCTGTTCATCTTCAAATTCCAGCGTCAGATCACGTTGTGTCAAACGTCACTCTCAACATTCTGGACCGGGTATAAAGTGCGAGTTTACTGTAAGCTACGTTTAATAAAAGCAGTGACATTATTTCATTAATTAGCAAATATTTTTTTCTTAATTACACTGAAACATAACTATCGTATACACTCATTGATGTGGCAGATGGGAAAATTCTTATTTGGAGTCTTACTTACTGCTTTTTCGAGGCAAAGCTGTTGTTTACGAAATTGAGAGGACGAAAAGTGAATATCAGACGCTTTAACCTGGTTGGTGAGTACGGTAGATCCGCCTAGGAGAGTTGGAAAACCCTAATTTCAAACCGATTGTGCACATGGGCTCCAGTATCCTGAAGGAACAAAAGGCGTATGAACCCATTGTTGGTCACCCGCTACCATGGGACTGCATCTCCTAACGTTGCTCCACTGCATTGTGAATTAGACCTGTAGTTGAAAGGCTCGGGAATGTTGCCCTAAGAAAACCACCTGCTTCGGTTTGGGCACCCGAGCAGTATCCCAGCTCTCACACAAATCAAATGATTTATGTGGCGCATATCTATTTGGTGCCTCCTTGTACCAATGTTTACGTGTTTGAGTAAAATAATTTGTGTCTTGATCTTTCACTATACAATTTGTGATTTGTTCAAATTATTCTAACAATAATAAAATTCAGTCTACCTAACTATGCTATATATATATATATATATATAATTAGCTGAGAATACTCAATGTGATTTAATATTCGTACGCATAACTGGGTTCTATTAATGTAATGGGGTAGTGATATATAATGAATAAAGTGCTCAACACGTATAATATTATAATTTAAATGAATCTAAATATGGTGAATCTGTACCAGGTCTGGTATTTTATTACTATTTTTGGTAGTTGTGTATTTAATTTTGGGCGTACAATCTTACACAATACTAATGTAACTGATTAACTATCATACAATAATCAGTATATGCCAGTACAGTTAGGAACAGATGAGCAATTCATGCCACTAATCATTTTAGGCTGTTTACTGTGATTGACGACGCATGCAAGCTCTCAACTTTCAGTCTGCGATGTAACTGTAGTTATTGTTAGAAGAATTTAGGTCGTGACCTGAACGCACTCATTTCTCATTCTCCCTAAATAGAAAGACTAAATACTTTCATTATTTAATTTTATTTGTCTCTCTTATTAACTTTTATTTTCTCCTCCAATACTATTTGTATACTTTCAATATAATAGCATGAATAGCTGTGAATTCCACATTGTTGATCTGTACAAGTTGCTTCATAGGAATACCAATTAATAAAAACTGCAAACATAGCTTGAACCCACTACTGTGTATGAATAAAGTAGTTTTGATTTTCAAATGATGAATTTTAAATGTTTTAAGATATACTAGACATGTTATTATAACAATATGTATACATGTTTTGTTTAGAATCACTTATAGTCAACAGATTACACATTATGTACGAAAGTTATTTGTGCAAGCGATTAAAATGTAGCTTTTATTCTCACAATAAATTAACCTGGTGAGTCATAAATAGTTACCAGTGGGGAACTTAAGATTCATGGTAACTTGATTGAGCATTTATTGTACTAACGCTTAATGGCCATACAGAAATATTTGTCTACGCGTGGCTCTATACCACCTAGGTATTGATGTGTTCGCTATCAATACTATCTATTTATTTAAACACAAACATTGGTACAAGGAGGCACCAAATAGATATGCGCCACATAAATCATTTGATTTGTGTGAGAGCTGGGATACTGCTCGGGTGCCCAAACCGAAGCAGGTGGTTTTCTTAGGGCAACATTCCCGAGCCTTTCAACTACAGGTCTAATTCACAATGCAGTGGAGCAACGTTAGGAGATGCAGTCCCATGGTAGCGGGTGACCAACAATGGGTTCATACGCCTTTTGTTCCTTCAGGATACTGGAGCCCATGTGCACAATCGGTTTGAAATTAGGGTTTTCCAACTCTCCTAGGCGGATCTACCGTACTCACCAACCAGGTTAAAGCGTCTGATATTCACTTTTCGTCCTCTCAATTTCGTAAACAACAGCTTTGCCTCGAAAAGGCAGTGAGTAGGACTTCCTTGGCAGTGGTTGTATGCACGTGACCATGTGAGAGCATTTCGAGAGGGAGAGCTAACTCCCCACTCTTGGCTGTACCAGGTCATTCGGGGGCTGGTGTGTGTGACAATCGAAATGGAGGAATCTGATGATTCTCTCTAAGTTGAAGCTTAATTTATTCCTAACAATTCTATTTTTCATATTTTTTCTTTTTTAGGATATTGCTTTTCAGACTACGATTCGTGATATATATTTTAGTCTTGTTCAACTTGCAATTCGTGGATTCAATTGTTATCCTATAGGGTGTATATGCTGCTGTGGTCACTCGGAGTATTCAGCCCATTCAAAACTTGATTCTTTTTACAGTTCCTCTTTAGATAAGAACAACTCATGTATGACAGACAATTTACAATCTTCATCGTCGAATACTTGTTCTGTGTATGATGACTGTGTAAGTTCTTGAATTGATTAAGTGTTTTTCTTTCCATATAAATTAATCTATTGCATAAATTTAAGATTATTAATCACATATTCAGTGTAAAAGCTCTGTCACTTATTAGATGTATATATCGACTATGTTGATGGAAATGGGTTGAACCTAACAATTTGATTGTATTCTGTATGTAATTACAGTTCATAATAATTCATCTTCAGGGCTATACTTATGTCTCATGAGTACAGACCAAATCTGATTACACGGTTTATACGCCGTAAAAAGTGATATGTTTCTTCACACATGACTTACATTTCTATGTTCCTCTTTGACAGTCCGTTAGTTTCTTAGTCATGTAACAGTCTAATACATACATGATCTGAATATACCGAGTTATGTAGAATCATTTTTATTAACTTAAGTTGATATGTTCAATAAAATCTCTAGAGTTATTCCGACAAATAGAAATAAACGTTTAAATTGGGTGAAGACATATATACATATTTTCCTTTGACTTACTGCATTGTGAAAGCGTTTTTCTGAAAAATGTTTGCATATCAAATTTTAGCTAAAATCATAATCTAGATTACAGTCTCTATATATTTGTATATTACGAGAGATCAATGTCAAAGATCGTCGTGTTGTATCTTAGTTATTTTTCTTCTGGGAATAGGAAAATAAGGTTTGAATAATTCTACAGATGCTTAGTTTAATTGGAAAATATTTCGTTGATAGGCATTTATCAGTGTTACATTTATGCTTTGTATATAGGATATGATAATTATTGTTAAACAAACTTCTACGCCAAAATCCACAGAAATCTCATCCATTCTAATCCTTTTGACAATTTTATTGAACTAAAATGTTGTGTGTTTAATTCTATTATCACCACCGTCTTAACACTTATTATGTATTTCTAATTCACTTGTTGAACATTCTTTTATTTCCTATGTTAATATGTTAAACGATGAAAATAATAATTGACTGATCATTAATTAGCACTGTCCGATCGGATTTTCATATAGTTATTGAACAGTGATCGAATTCACGTGTTGCAAATAGTCTAAGTCAATCGAAATTTCTTAAACTATATTGTGATGCTAGATATTTGACAAGAAACTCTTGACTCATTTACCATTTTAATTCAACACTCATTAAAAAAGCGTGCCTGTAATCTCTTAGGAACTGATACTCCATCTGAGAGTCGAAACAGTGTCACTCAACTTCACATTCTTATACGCTACCATGGGGCTATTCAGGCTGTGACTAGCCTCCTGTATGCCCGAGGTATTTACAACTGAGTTCTAACTAGCATAAAAAGTAGGTTCGAAATTTCTTCCTGCCTAAGTCTCATCAAACTATAATGCACGTGATGTCGAGTCACTTAGACTAATGATTACACTACAATTTGAAAGACCATAGGTCAATCAGCATCACTAAGGTCTAGAAGAAATTAACACTGGTCACTACTCAATCAGTTGTAAATATCTCAGCTGTACTGGAGGTCAGTCACAGTTACTATTGATAATGAAAATATTTTGGCACTAACAGTTTACTTTATCAGTTATCTTTTTTCCAAAGTCTTGTTCATTAATGCATAGTGTGCGCAAATCTGTTAAATTGTTATTTACTTTTATGGCTATAAATGTATATATTTTTATCTAATACTGTTTGTAAATAATCAATGTACAGTTATCTATTTCTTCATGTTAATTTTTTATCTAGTTAGATAAGGCTCGACCAAATTTCATATCACTTGGATTTCATACTAATTTTAAATCATCTACTTATGAATTAGGCTTTCATCCATGTGAAATATTTTATTCTGCAGTCTTACTACAATCCAATAGTCAGTCTATTATCAATCCTAAAACAACTCATAAATTCAATTGTTCTCCAATATTAACTTTAAGCGATTATAATAAATATTTAACAGATGAAAATGTTCGAGGAAATTATCCAGCTCTTTGGTTTGATTCTGTTCGTTCCTTACATGTAAATGAGTCTGGTATAACAGCTTCAGATTGTAAGTTATGTTTATATAGAAATGATTTTTCAGTGTTAAAGCTATGAAGCGGTAGTTCAGTGATCAAAACACTAATTTAAACAACTTATCAGTATCATTAATTTGTAAATAATATTCCTGTGTTTACTGATGATACGATTTCCAAAGATTAGGTGTAACAACCAGGTTTTAATTGATTGGAGAATGAATGACCTAGAAACTAATTCCTTCTAATCGCCTATAATGTTTTACATGTTCATTTTGTGTTCTTGTTCTGTATATCAGCATGTTATTTTATCACATGAAAAACTGTTCATCTGGCTAGTAGTTTTCCCTTTGATTTTTAATTATTTGGGACCTAAAGTCAAATATACTATTTCCTGAGTAGCCATCACTTACCTCCTTTGTTTAATAGGCTTTTCAGATCTGCGGGATCTTCCGTGACCGTTTCGTCAACATAAAAAGTTTATATGCAGCTTCTGATTCTTATGGGAATGCGAATCACAAACTGCAGAATGGCAATATGTTTCACTTTCATAATCTCTGATAGAGCTTTTTATTGTAGTACAGATCACGTTATAGGCTTGACTTTGTGGTCATTAATGACTGAGATAAATTCCCGAAGGTTTTATAAGTAGGAAGTTGAGACTTGTAAGTGAGTTCAACCGTATTTGGAAGGAGATAGGTTTTATCGATGATATAGGATGACTATCATGTTATACTATGAATTTACTGAAGTAAGAAATGTAGGTCACATAATTCTTACTTGAATGGGTGGCACACTCACTACCACTCCTAAATGCTACGAGTTCGGATCTTGATAAGTTTATGCGTGTAAACTACTGAGAAGTACTGTACTAGATCGAAATAACTATCTTGAACATCTTAGTTTTTAATGGTTCTTCAGCTAGTCAGTAATAAACTGTGCGAATTCTTTATATATTGGGATATTAGTATCTGAAACATCAAGTTTTATTTCCACTTCTTTCATTGAATGATCATCGTTGAATATTTCATAGATGTGTTGTAATAGATGAATATTGTGTGTTAGGTAGATAGAATTTTGACTATTTTATCCTTTGATTAAACTCAAATTGGAGTACGTCGATTGGTGCATTTTCAATTTCTAATGTAAATTATATAAATTTCTATTGCTCCGTATTTTTAATTACTAGCTTCACTGGTCTGAATACGATTTCACTATTTCGGTTCGCATGTTAAGTGTTAATATATCATTTCAAATAATTACAAGTTCTTGATTTAGTTCTTAATCTAAATTTATTTCTCTAGGGTTAGTGATGCTATTCGGTTGACCAAACTGCAGTATTTAAATCATTGTTTATTGGATCTACACTAATGATTGCTGGTTGAGATTGTACTTAATAAAATTAAATCGAACAACTTACACCTTATTAAAACTGTATTTTCCTTCTAAGTATATTTTTTATCCAATGGATTGTATATTATGGGATGATTTTCATCTAATTTATCTTAAATTGTGTTTTTTTTCGTTTTAGAACCGTTGTTAATTGAAATCTTTTGAATTTAGGTGGTACGCTTTGGCAAGATAAGCATTATACGTAGTCTAACCAATAAATAAGCAATCAGGAGCCCATAAATTACTCAATTTGACGAATTTAGGGTTGCATCAAACATATCTGTTTCAAAATACTGCATATTTATAACCATGATTCTGTCTTGTCTGCTCTTTTTCAATTCGAAACATTTGTTGAAGTCCTGAGAAGTCAGTTTCTTCCACTCTGTTGTAATTTCTCGTTTTATCATCTTCGCATAATAATTATTTCCATTTGAGAAAGAAGAAGTTCTGGGGCTGTAAAATTAATGAGTAGGGAATTTAATTTAACTTTTGAATTGAATTACAGATCAGAAACTTCAGGACAGTAGGTGTTGAATATTCGCACGGATTGTTGCATATTTACTGGGCAGATCATCCACTCATTAGCAATTCATAACTTTCATCTATCGTAGCCGAATAACAACAGGCTACCAAAGTTAGATTAGCTCAAGGAAATAGGGAATTTAACTACAATGCGATTAGTCGTTTTTTTAGTTGCTTCTACGATTAAAAAAACTTTGGTAACTCGGTTTACGCATGGTTAATTTAAAACTTTCTTTCTACTTGTATTCTTAAGGATTTCTTGATTGAACACCCGTTTCTTACGATTTTTTAATCCATATTTCTCACATTTTGTATTTAATTTCTTTCATTTGTAAAGATAGTTTCCACGCTATAGACTCGTGTATCATATATTGAAAAACTTGTTATTTATTGCTTGTGAGTAGTTGATTGGAAATGCAGTATACATTAATAATTATTGTCTGTCAGGAACTCGTTTTCATCCTTTCTTCTTCATAGTTTCATCTCTTCATCAAGTGGATGGAGTACAAATGTTTATTCATAATCGTTTTCTTATTGGTTCATATTCAGTCGATGTATCTCCTAATTTAATGCATCGTTTAGAAGGTTTTATAATTGCCTATAAAAATTCCATTCCGTATCCATCATGTTCAATTTCACAAAAAGGTAACTGGATTATTCTCTATCTGTGTTTTGAAATCTTCATTAGTTACTTACTATTAATAAAACTATCCATCAAAGTAATTATCTGCATGAATAGTATAACGCTAGTATTTATTTGAAATCAATGTAATAAGTTATGTCCTTTAGGTGGTTTGATATTTGGATTTTCTCATCCTTTAGATAGATATCCTACTCCTGAAGAAATATTTGACCTAAATAACCCTTGAGAATCATATTATTTGTTAACCTGAAATCATTTATAATATTGATCATGAAATGGACAGCCTAACCAATGATCTCTATTTTGTGTTATAGATCTTGACTGAGTAGCTGCTAACAGCAGAAAAAAACTATTACTATCATCATCTTAACACCAACGTTCAAAAAATATCGCTTAAACAGTTTTAAAGTTAGTTGTAGATTATGCAACAAATTTATAAGATTGTAACAGCTATTCAGTAGCTGAATTTTTTACTTAGTAGGTTTGGTAACTCCACTCTCAATCTCCCTCTTTTATCCGGGCTTGAAATCTACAGTAACCCTAGAAGGGCTTCAGGCGGAGTTAAGATTGTAGTAATATGTCTTATTTCATCTTGTAGTTCCATACGATTATATATTTCTCAAATTTCTATGAAATTATAAATTAAAGTTCTAATAATAATTTCTGTATTTTTAATATTTCTTAACACTAGATGAAATGTTTACATTGTTATCAAGTAATTTATCGCTTACACGTTTCTCACAACATATATCCACATGTAATACACGATTCGATGTTAGTAATGGAATTATATCCGTCCATACTTCACATAACTTTCAAATGGTAAGTCTGTATGCTTTTTTTCATTTTTTAGTTTCACTATCTTATCATTACTTTTTGATTGTTGACGAAATTAAAGGAAACAGCAAATACAATGAAAAATTCTTAAAGTAATATTATTGCAATAATAATTCATATTCGAACTTGACTTATTGAAGTTGTTGTTTCCGGAGCATATTAAATTATGGGTAAATTCTATGAACTATTTGTGGACTGTTATATATTCCTCTTATTATGAACTTACATTTGACCTTTTGGCTACTATTAAACGATTTACTATTCTTAATTTATTCCCAATCGATTGAATACCTTTTATTACTACGGTCCCAACATTCTTTTCTTATTCTGTTGGTTGTATTTGACATGTGTCCGTCTCTTTTTTATATTCGTCAAGTGGACAGTTGTCCGTCACATCTCTTTTCCATATGAAACTCCCACTTTTACATTCCTTTTTTCTTATTACGTAACCTACCAATATTACGGCGCTTAAGATAAATGAATATTGAAAAGACTAAAGAATGAAAACAAACATGAGCAGTTTTTTAAGGTGACGATGAAAAAAGTGGTTAGATTTTACAAGGATAGGTAACCACATAATGTTTTCGGATGGTTAGTAGCCTAAAGATCCTGAGATTTGAATTCAGAGGACTATATACTTAAACATTAATTCGTATGGTTACAAAGGATTCTTTTATCAGTCTTTATTACTAACCCTAACTGGATAAAATTTCACAATGTTACTTCAAAGGTCATCCATATAATATAATGTCATCACTATGGTTTTTTCAAATAGTTTTGATTACTTTGTTATGAAAATATCAGCATTAGTAATAATTTGGTTTTCTTTTCTACTTGTCAATTTAGAATCAGATACTACCCTATTTACAACTCCATATAGATCATATTTCTTTGTACAGTCGTTCACCCATATATCCATATGATATTGTACATATAATGAATCGTCAGAATATCCCCTCTTATCTATTCAAACGTAGTTACGAATTTATTCAGTTAGAATTGAATAATCCATCTAAATCTGTTGATGATTGGTTAAATGAATTGCACTTAGGTGTACCGAACACACCATGTAAAGAATGGAATAAACAATTAATTGCTTATTGTTACAATCGAACTATTTTAAAATTAACTGGAATTTGTATGAATCTTATTGTAAATCATGAAATAAATCAATTTTCCGATATACACTTATCCAAAAATGCTCCTTTTATCAATAATGATACGGTTAATGATAAATTATCACTTTTGAAATTTGCTAGTTTTGAATGTATATTTTGGTCATTGAATTATCCACACTTATGGTAAGTTCTTATATACTACTTCATTTGAATAGCTAAATATATGCAGTCTGTTATCTTAGACATTATGTACTAAATATAGATTCATTTCACAAATGTCATTGATCCCTGAGTAGCAACGACCAATATCATGTTTGTTTAGTCCTTTTAGTCATAGTCCAAACCTATCGATGGAGTTGCCATGTGGCCACTAGTCTAGGTGACTAGACATCTTTTCCCACTGTGTTGGAATGTTAGGTTGTTGGAGGCAGTTGACAGAAAACCGTGGACTGAAATTTCGTGGTATTTGGCATCCGTCATCAAAGTGAACTTGTGATCTTGAGGGAGCTGGTGCTTTCTGTGGGATTTGAGCCGGCACGCTCCCTAAGAGAGTCGATGCTCTCTCAAGATTTTGAGTATGTTTTTCTGATGATTGCTAACTAGAATATACAGATGCACGAAATGAAACTATATTGGACCGTACAATAACAATGCTAAGATTAATTGTATTTTAGAATCGCATCAATGAACTGTTATAGAGTGCAAACTGCGAACTTTATTTTTGCAATTTGTGTTCTTGTAGATCATTGTATCTCAACTATAAATGAATTGTGAAGCATAGATTTGATTGAAAGATCACACAAACTGAAAGATTTTGTAGATTTTATGGTTAAAAATGTTATCTCTCAGAGGTGTTGTTTCAACAATATCTGTAACCTTCAGCTTAACGTATTTTACTAGAAATTTAAATGTAAATGTTGTGAAATTCTTAATATCAACAGAATTACTTTTTTCTTTGGTTTCACGAAAACACAAAATATTGTGGATTTACCATCAATCTGTACGCGATTATTATCGCTTAAATTATCAATAAGAAATAAACATAATGTGTGCAATATGTGCATAGAATGTGATCAAAATTTCGATTGGTTGTGCAAGTGTAATATAAGAAGTTGATCTCTTTCAGTAACATTTCTTCCTATTTTCACATTACTGGATTGTTATATTCGATTTGATTTTTAACATTTTACTTGACGGTTGTTTCAAAAATATTATTTGAAGTGACTTAATTTTAAATAATACCATTATAAAAATAATTTGGTCACACTGTGGTGCGTGCTACTTATATTGATGTAAGTAGTATATGACGCGAGTCAGGAATGTAATGTTTGGCGGCAGAAGATGGGGAAGATCAAGAAAGGAAGAGCGGGAATAGAAAGCAATTAGTATGAAGATGTAAGAACAATGAAGTTCGAGACAATTATTGAATACTTTGCAAATTAGGTATTATAGTATGGTTTTTCTATTTTACCAAGTAACTCTGTAATTTTGTGCTAAATATAGTTCGGTTGTCCTCACCTGTGTTCTCCTTCACTACAATACTACTAATAATAAGTTTAATTTATACTTTGATTGTGCTAAAAGAAAATTTTTCAAATAGTTAACAGTTGAATATTTCATTAATGGTTTATTGTTGATGAGTAGTTATTGATAGAAAATATTGGAAAAATCTTATAGGTAATGTTAATTGTAGCCACATACGAAAATGGCTTGTACACCATTTTAATGTCCCTTGATCTATATACTATAATTATTCATCTTACAAAAACACTGTCATTTATGTCATGTATCTCTGTGTAAGTTTTTGTTCTGATATATCTTGTTTTAAACGTGTCTTGATATTACGGAGTAAAGTTTTTCGCCTAATTCACTGTATAAACAGACTGCGTTTTTGGAAATATCCAACATTTATTGTATGTCACCTACTTGACCGTATTGTTTCCGAAAACCGTTTATCGAAATTTTGATAAAAGATCATGGTGCTATGTAGTACCTTGAAAATGGTTAATAACGTTGATAGAGTATTTGTTGGCTTTATTATAAATATGATTGTGGATATTCATAGGAAATCTTTTCAGCAACTAACGAATGCTATTTTGATCATGGAATAGAACTATTTGTTAAAGGTATTAATATGCGTTTAAAATACTAGTTCACTTGTCATATATTAATTTTTGCTGTTTTTATTTCTACAGGAATTCACCTTCAATTAGTCATTCAGAGTACCGAGTGAGGTTGGACAATGGTATAGAAATCAATATTTCTTTGCAAACTGTCGGTATTTTATCGTTTATTCTAAGTGATATGTTTCATCAACTGAATCATCTTAAAACTTACTGGGAATCACAAGATAAAAATGTTTATTGGCCTTCTGAACATCAGTATTGTTTGCAAAGTGAATCACAGTCAAGTAAGTACATATTGACTATATGATAGGTATTGTCATTTTAAATGAGTTTAATTTACATCGATATTTCATTTATAATTATCTGTCATTTATTTTAATTATATTCGATACCATCATTGTGACTATTGTTTTCGTCATTTTAATTAAAACGTTTCAATTAACTAGCTTGTTTTTACTTCACAAGCTGTGTTACTATACGCAGATGATTTTTAGGGTTTCGAGAAAACGTTTATTCATAACCGGATTATGACTATCTGTGTCTTAATAATTGGTCAGATTTATTGTATTAGGAGCTACAGGACCCGACTGGTTAGTATCATTTCAGTTTCTGAATATTATATACCCGCCTATGATTTGAATATGAGATATCGTTTCATCCTAATTACATAACACTATCTAATCTGGATTATTTTTCTCGGCTTGAATAAAGCGAAATAGCATGCTCTGAAAAAAAACTGGTCATTTTATGATTATAACATTGGTCTACATGAAATTCAAGGTAAGTTATCAGTTGAATTTCTCGAATCAGTTAACTCTTTTTCTCTCTTGGTGTCTTTTACAGCTGATAAAAAATGTTGGATATGGACTACTAAACTAAACGGTGTTGCCAAATTTCGTATATGCTTTACTAAACTAGTTTCTGTTATGCAAATTAGTTTAGAAACCAATGTACTTATGTATTTGAATTGTTCTACTGAACAGCAGAAAATTTGTCCAATTATGGAGAGAATGGCTGACAAAAACGATAGTCATGAAAATAAAGTGATGCCACTGTTTTGTTTAGCTGTACAATTTCCATATTCACATGATGAGGCATATAATAGTAAGTTTTTAAACACGATAATAATAATAATAATGGTTGATTTTATTATGCTAACAAATGGTTGACATTATCAACTAATTTATGAATTAGTTTCTAGACACCCATCATTTTAGAAATATTGAACGCTGAACAAATAAAATGAAGGCACTATAACTGAAGTTTTGCCTCAATGCTAGTTTGGGAACGGAAAGACGAGTTATTCATTTGAATACAAGTGGTAATTTGTGAGTTTGCTTTAGAAAGTCCATAAGCTCGTCGACTTGTGGAGTTTATTAAAGTGACATTGTTTGGCTAAATGTATTTTTGGGATTTTTCTGTTTCTATGTGGTTGTCAAAGATCAATTTTAACACATTATTATTATTATTATTATTATTATTATTATTATTATTATTATTATTATTATTATTATTATTATTATTATTATTAACCTACAACCAACTACCTACTACTTACCACAACTAATAATATTAGAATGGGAAACTAACTACTAGTGTCCTCCTACTACCAGCTTAATAAGGTGATTTCAGTTTTTATCAGCTAAAATGCTTGGAACTAATGTTAAGAATATTTATTTACACTTTTTATATAACATTAGTAAGCGACAAAGAAAGGAAGTCAATGATTGTATGCTTAAATCATGTAGGAATTTTTAAGTAATGATGGATAATGTTTTCTAATTCACAATGAGGATTCTGAATAATAGGACTAATACAAGAAAACTGGAAACTAAAGTATTTTGAAAATCAACCTACGTTGATGAAATACTCATTTACAACTGCAACAACGCAATGACCTACAAATTAATCTACTTACAAACCCTGTCCATAATAGAGAACCCTTTTTATATCATTGCTATTGAACAGAAAATTTAGAGGAAATGCCTAATGTGTGTATTTCGGAAAAATGGATACCACTAAAAACTCATCAAGTAGTGTTTATCAAACTGATCACTAAGTATAAAATCAAAGTACACCAAGCGGATAATTTTATCCTAAGTAGAAAACATCTCCGATATCACAAACAAATTACCAAGATGTTTAAGAATAGGCGTTGTACATAAACCCACAAAATTTTTAGAATCAAAATTATACAGAGCAAAAGACACAACGACAAACGGATATAAAACAAACATGCCTACAAAATCAAGTGCATCAACTACGGGGTGCACTGGATAGGAAAAAGCGACCATCTGCTCATCTTCATCCATGTCAATACCAACTAACGGTTAAACGCCGCAATATGAATTCTTTTATATCAATGCATATGAGCAACTGTGGACGTGGTTCCTATTGAGAGAACGTCCATTTGTTGGACTAATGGAGCACAAAAATTGCCAGAGATTTTTTAAAAGCTTTCTGAAGAATCAATCAGTTGGATGGAATCTGTCAACCAGTGAAGAAAAAGATGAACCTAAGCAAGGTCAAAGATGAAAATAATCTAAAACATGCAAACAGCTGTTACATAAGCATATGAAAGCACAGTAGCTACATTCTAGGTCGATAGAACAAGCGGCTAATTAATTATGCAGAGATCTTAACTACTCACTTCTTATTGAAGTGTATAGTGATAATATTGTAGAAGAAAATAATGAATGCTTCACAATTAAACCATCCAGCTCTGAGGAAAAAATACCTTCAACACTCGGAAGTCTAGTGTCGGTGACCAGATTTAATGTAGATTGGTAGTTGTCTTTTTTAAAAATCTTTTGATATGTAGTAATTTCTGTCCCCTCTTTGAAGTATTGAATTCGTACTCTAGATTATTCCATTTAGTTGCTACTGTAATTCTTTAGTGATTGTAATGATATTTTGATGTTTGAATTTTATTTGTTAACACATTTGTGTATTATTAACTTTACTTTAATTAAAAGCACCTATCAAATGTCATGTTTATTTGGCCAATGTTGATTACTTAATCACTGCGGAATTATTTGAATGGTTCGCTTTGTTGAGTTTGCCAGAAATTAAAAATCAATCACAATATGGTCACAATTGTGAATATATAAGCAGTTCAAATCAGTCAACTGCAAGAATAGAAGTTTCAAAGTTCACGAAAAGTAAATATTTCCTAGTTTGCATTACTTGTTTCGGTTTTATGCAACTCTGTAATTCATTATTGACTTGTATATTATCCAGGTTTTAGCTTTAATCAAATGTAACTGTCTGATATATGTTTTGGTTTCACGAATGGAAGTTAAAGAAGCGATATATGTAAACTTGTAGTTGGATCTACATGGTTCATACTCTTGCGAGAAGTTTGAATTATCCCATTGCTCATATCCAGGGCTCAATTTCTTAATTGGCCTATGTACACCATTAGCGATGTCTTCTTTTTTGAAGTTTTTAGAATGGATGTAAATATAGTGTGAAAATCATGTCTATTGAACAAGTTAGTGACTGTCGATAACCCATTAGCGTTTGAAGCGAAAGGTACTGGATTTTAATCCCAATTTAAACTGGATACTGGATATTTCACTTACTAAGTCACAACTCTACATTATATGAGCAAAATATTTTTTATATTGTTTGTAGTGCTTCACTGTTTGACGCATATCTTGCCAAAGATCCAATAGTACCCCATAATTTTCGTATGCATCAATAAGTTTTTATTTCTTGCCAGATGCCACTTTGATTATTTAGCTGTATATCAGCTACATTTCTCAACAACATTGATTCTATGGGATAGCTATATCCATTCACGTTGGTTAGTTAAAAGTCAGAAGTCAAATAATCACTAGATATATTTCAGAAATTGTAATAAGAAAAATGTGACTAGTGTGATTACGTAGGTCCTGAGTAATATAGAAAGCTTGGATCCAATTACTGGTCAGTTAAGAGTTTAAATGGAAAACGTTGGATTCCTGTTAAAATTACTAATTTCTCTTGATGAACGTCGTTGATTCAATCCTAAGAGAGGTTTTAGAAGTGTACTCTTTGAAAGTTTCTAGTTTCGCAATAAAAGTATTTTTATTACCTATTATCCTTCGTCTTTTTGAATCTACAAGGCAAAAGTTGATTTCATACTACTGATTAAATCACTTATTAGTTTTTCGGCAGTGATGAGTCCTTGTATGGTATTTAAACGTTGTCATAAGGCTCGGTTTTACTTCGTCTAATGTTATAACGGTTGGCTTTCCACGTTTACACGTATGGGACGTTAATTTACTTTAGACGAATATCTACACTGGATTCCTCCCCAGTGTCTATTCTACAGGACGTCAACAAAACTCAGATCAAGAACAAGTGATTAGCCTGACCACAACGTTAATGTATTTCCACACCAAAAACCCGATACAATCCAACAACAATGAACAATCAATAATAAGTGAGTAATAATAATAAAAAGGATAGGGAAATATATAATTCATCTGACACCTGTTAGACCATCTACGTGTCTGACTAAACAGACAACCAATCATTATGACTTTCACCCACACATCAAGTGTCTATCAATCAAAATAGTAGCCTGGGAAGCGGTTCATTCATAGAAATTTCTTTTGAATGTTTACGTATAAAGATAGAATGATGCACCAGTAAATATTGATTTAAAGTAGTTGGTGAAAGGCTAGAGGGACAGATACTAAAGAAGCGATTGGAAAATGTTGTTCTTATTACTCTGAGCTTTTTCAAAGATATGTGTACATTAGCACCAAATGTTTCGTTTCTACTATTTTTTATGTAGAGCAGTATGTCTCTTCACTTGTTTGAGTTTTGAACAATCAGGTCTGTTATCCGATTGCGCCTATACTCTTTTAATGCATGATATCGTCTTACATAACCTTAAAATTAGAAAATGAAACTAACTTTTGTCTTTAATATTTTCAGTTATTGGAAACTGTTGTATGATGATTAGTATATCCTTAGGAATAGGTAAATAGTTCGGTGTATTATATTAGTACTCTAACTGAAAAGTATCATCAACCGCCGAGTTTCGTTAAGCTTACAACAGGTTTTATTCTATGCAAGTAATAAACAGAAGATTCCCTGGTGATTTGTTAAAATATACAAACGGAGTGTTTATTACACTTTGCTCAATTATCTTTGTTTGGTTTTTCTATAGAAAACCAATTATTATGCGATGAATTATCGCTATCAGGCTCTGATATCAGCTCGAAAGGACTGATAAAAGCCAATATTGTCCATTCTTCATTTTCAACTGATTTTTCACCTACACATTCGCTAGTTATTGGTAATAAAGCTCAATGGAAAGAAGTTTGGAAACGTTTGACATACTGTAAAAACCTTTTGCATAATGCTTCAGTTCAGGTTAGTCTTCGTATGAAATTCTTTATTTGATAAATTTGTATTACTTATAAGTAGTTAAATATTTTAACGTATGATCGTTTCACTGTATTGCATTGGTTATTCATGGACTAACTGTTCTCTAGTTTATGCACTTTATGTTTGCTCGGCCGTATTGAGCCGATTATTTTTGTGTTCGTCTGTGCTGAGTCAACTATTGTTGGTAATCTTACCACCATGAATAATCATTTACTATTTATATGTATACTACAGAGAGCCAAGACGTTCAGTGAATATAATACTTAGTTGCTTTCTGTTTTGTCATTTTAATGGAGTTTCATAATATTCCTTTCAATTATCTACCTAGAAAACCTGGTGATTATTTTGTAGTTTCTAGGTAAAAGAAGTTTTTCATTGCTTAATGTATCAGTAGTCATATCGAAATATTCTTTAAAAGTAGCGATAATTATGTTATTTAACAATAGTTCGAATAAAGAATTCTTTCATAAAACTTGCTGGATAAAGTGCTAGTGTATAAATGAGTCGACCGGAATCGAGGACACAACTTTCAGATTTTTACGCGAAATTCAATTACTGAGCATAGCGAGCAGTAGAAATACCTTTGTATACTATTTAAAATGTTTAAAATGAAAGCGAAAAAATATATGTGCCTTTATAAAGTAAAAATGATTGTGTTGAACTTACTAAATGCACAATTCTATCTATCTAATCTGAAGTCATAACCCTAAAATCCTAATCACGGAATATTCCTTAGTGGCATTATATTATATGGACGAATTGATCGGACAAAGCTTCTTGCATTTTGGCATGAATTTCGTCCATACATACTGTCCTGTAGAGGTTTGGTGTATAGCAGATGTCAGTTCGTGATGAAAATCTCAAACACAAACCCCTAATCTGATCACTGAATACCTAACCTCAGCTAAGAACAACGTGAAATCTGTTAGGATTCGATTTGGGACCTTCGAAAAGACGGTTGATCTATATATTTATAAATACGAACTTATGTGTCATTATTTTTCTCGATTTATAGGCAAATTAACCTGTAAAAGATATTAATAGACACCTTAAATCTGTAAGATCTGTTTACACTTTATAACACTATTGTTTTCTTTTCCATAAACTATCCATATACTGAGCTATTTTCTTATTGACTAAGAACTGGTTGAAAGTCTGTCGCAAATCATCCGTTATAGATCAACCAATTTCATATTTTCAGTTTGGGATTGTGGAGATTGTTGAATTTCATCGAAATCATGAACCATTCAATGTTAGGCCACCACTAAAAACCTGGAAGGGCAGGACGGCCGTTTTGCCTTTGTATGGGACTCCTCTGCAGTGCGCATCCACAATCTCGCACATCAGTTTCGAACCCATGACCTACTATTTCGCGCGACTGTTTATGTTGTTTGGTCCTTAGTGCTGATTGTTTTCTGTCGAATAAGTTCTCTATGAGGTCACTACACTAAGTGGATTTACATAAGCCTGTATTATGTTTACTGATAATTAGTTGTCAAGGGTCAGAATGCACCTGAAATTCGTCTATTGAGCTTTCGTTTCTAACTTTGTTGTTGCTAATATGGTTTTATAATTTACATAGTGTTAATATTTTGTGGCTCTTAATCAAGTACTTCAATCTGTTCTTGGTTATTGATCAGCAATGTTTTCATTAAAAATTGTAACACCAGTCAATAGTTTGTAAACTTAGGATATTTCACAATGAACTAGCTGATAAAGTGTACCTCTCAACAACGGAAAATGAAACTATAGAATGAAGAGGAAAAGTAATTTATGATTATCAGAAGTCTTGTAGCTAACATTAAATTGTGTAAAATAAGGATTTAGTTATTTATTCTCTGAAGAAGTGGCTCACATTGAGTCACGAAACGTCAGAAAAATTAATTTGTCTACTTATTGGGATATTACAAATATACTTATTTATTTATATTTACTTCACTGTTAATAGTTAGTGATTTCCAACTATTGATTGCTAATATTTCACAGGTATTATATGACTTCACACAGCAATCTGCTCGGTTTATTTTTAGTCTTTTAAACCAAAGTGATTTCTAACTGACATATGAAATAAAAGTTTTATAGTGTACACCACAAATGTACTTTAGTTAGATAGCCGTTGAAAAGGAGGAATCATCGGATAAATATTTTGTCCTAATATGGGACTTCACCGTAGCAGTGCACATACAAGTTCCAACCAATGCTCGAAATCTGGACCGACAGGTCTCACTGTCAGTGCCTAACCCTTAAATCACCTAAATGTGATCCATGATGTATAAGTCTAATTTTTATCAATACACGATATTTTACAACCATCTTCTATTGCCATAAGTAGATAACTCTCACACCAGACGCATTTGAACTACACAGGTCACGGCTTCTTATTGGAACTTAGGGAAACAAGAATTGTGGTTGTACTACCTGTGCTTGGAGAAAATAAGACTATACTTCGTACATTAATTTATATGGCGTACTGTTTGATGTGTTAATCGTGGGCTGTGTCATCAATTTTTATACATATATTTTAACTGATGTATCTGTAAGATGTACTTTTCAAAGAATATTTTGGTATACGTATAATATATGTGTATATTACGATTGTAATTATCCTACTGGCTTCATAGATGATTCAGACCAACGAACATCAATCGAGACTTCTGAATGTCTGTCGAATTTTTATCGGGAACAAGACTATTAAGGTTGATATAGATTCGTAAGTAAATAAAATATACAACACACTCAACTACTATATTTCCTATTCTTTGTCATTGAAGAAGAGTCTATGTTTATTCTATAGTTGTCAGGTTAAAAATTCATACCAAATGTTCGAAGCTGTTCTGTGTAACGTTTGATAGCTACATCTCTTAATAGGACCATGTTTACTGAATACTATGCGATAAGTCATAATTGTCCACTTAGATGATTGTCCTTACAATAAGTTTTGTGATGACATCATATTCAATTGAATTTTCTGTTATTGTTAACAAAAAAGTGGTTTTCTTTTCTATAACCATGGAAGTAAATGACTATATTCATAGTTGACTATTAAATTTGTTTACTTGTTATGCAATTCCCTATTTATTTGACTCTGTCACACAAAATAATTGATTCGTCAGTGTAACTAATTAATATGATCTATCTACCAATTTCATATACCAAATCCATTTTTAAAACTTAATATTTTAGATCCTTTTCAAACCAGCACGAATATTTAGTGTAATTGGTGAGTGTCCACCATCGTTTTCCGCATTTATAAAAGGTCGAAAATTAGAAGAACTACTGATGCTTAATAAAATGCCTTACCTACTCTTTGGCTTTCCTCAATCATACTTATCAAATTACTATGATTTAGATAAAGGTGGTAATGGTGAGTCCCAATATGATCAAATTGATGATATTGTTCTCAGCAATTGTTCATGGTCATGCGCAGTATATGATCTACCAATGTTCTTGCAACCGGAAAAAATTGGCTCAAGGCAGTCCATTTTTCACTGGATGTTTTCAGCTACACAAATGTATTTAATTGTGGAAAATAGTTTGATTTTTGCTGGTCGATTTTCGATAAATTTAGATTTTCATCATAACCAAGACTTCGAATCCAATATACTAAAAAGAACATTATCATCAACTAACGCGATATGTAATAGCACTACCCCTTTTGTTATAAATCTAAATACTGATGTTAAATGGGATTATGAACCCAATTATTTATCTGGAAGAAATTATAGAATTCCAGACTTTCGAATTTTGAATCAGACTATCCAAACAATCCAATTTTGCTACAGTGGATTTCATGGTATCATTTTACCTAAGGTAGGCAATCCTTACTTTTTAAGCATAAATTTACTGTTATACTGATTTTCTTCTATTTGCTTTGCGAAAACCTGCAGTGGTAATTACTGTTCTTGGTATTGTTATTATTATGATTGTTAGTAATATTTCGAAAGTTGTTGAAAATAGCAGAATACCGAATTCCTGTTTTGTTTCTTGTCAAGGTCTGACTTCTGTAGTCTGTGCACCTTTTGCCGACTTTGAAGTCAAACTGTAAACCATTCATTCACATGCACTGTATTTTGTTAGTGATACTTAAAACTGGAGACCAGGTTTTTTTGTATTTCTTGGTTATCTCAAAACTCCACATATCCTGTCGGCGAATAGTTTTCGACTTGTGTTACAATTGAATTAGAGTTTAACCATTGACTGTGAATTACTTCGAATCTAATAAAATGATACATATATCTTAATAATATGGTAAGTTGTTAAGTTTTCTTGACTGTTTTATGGCACATTGTTTGTTTCCCAACTGGGTTATCTGTGCTAAATTATCGCTCTTTTTACAATGTTTGTTCAACTTGAAATGCATTGTGAAGGTGAACTACTTACATATTACATATTACCGTACAATCAACTTGGAAATACAGTGAAAAAAGCAGATAAATAGGAACCAGCTTTGGATGCCTTGCATGTTATAAAGTTATTTAAATCTAGTTTGAATTTTCACGTGAGCGAGGATCCTGACAGACCCTTTTATTTTAATATTATAGCTGAATGATTTAGTATCATATAGTGTAATCTAACATATAGAAATTAAATCATTAGTTTTTTAAAAATAATATATCCTTTATTTGAAGTTATATAGGCGGAATGAATGTGGTAGGTTACAGAAACCTACAATTAAAAATATATACACGATTGTACAACTCTTAAGAGAGGACTTCAGCTTTGAATTAATCACACATTTTTCTTATAGCCTAACACAAATGTTAGTGTTAGTGATAACAACTACTAAAGTAAATTTATTTCCTCCACTAAACATGATTTAATTTCAACTTTTAAAACGTTCAACATAACCTTTGTTTTCATATCAATATTTCAGTCAATACTACATTAACAGTTGCTGAATTAATCTTGTCTTGTATGAGTCCTTTAATTTCACATATTTCTTTAAGCTAATAATATTTGTAAATTAAAAATCTGTTTAACATTTTCCATATTTTCTACAGTTTTCGGAATTCACAATATTTATGCATAAAAATGCCACAAGGTCAGCAACCATCACTGTCAACCCTACTATGAAATCTCCTAATCTTAGTGAACATGTTCAAAATAAACCTATTCACTTTTATTCACCAAATAGTATTTGTATTACTGAAGAATCATCTGTTAATATCCCGACGGTACTTTACAAAACGAACTATAATCCACATAGCAAAATTAAAGGTAGTCCTTCAACAATTAGTTTGTTTCATTTACCATGTAATATCAAAAGTTATTCGAATAGAACAAAAAATGTTGATAACGAAAATTTATCAATCTGTCAAGATCAAGATAATCCTTTTGATATTATTCTACAGGTTCAGTGTAGTTTACCATGTACTAATGGTGAAATTATGTTGACATACTTTGATCATGATGCTATTTTACAGTGGACAGTGGAAAATACAAAATTTAATATCAATTTACAAAAAGAATGTTGTTGTGTTGATTTTCATGTCCGTTATTTCGATGCAGTAATTAAAAAAGCAGAGTAAGTTGTATCAATATGTTCATTTTGTACGATGTTGTTGTTGATAAAATTGTCCAATACGAAACAACATTATAGTTAAAAAATTGTTATTCAATTTTCTCTTCATATCGGATTACTATTTAGAAGTTTATTAATGTAATGATGAATTATGTAAAATTGTTCAACACATTTCTTTTTACCCTTGTAAAAGTGTTAGTGTATAATTTCCGTTACCTTTATCAGACACATATTTGTATGCTTGATTTGGAGTCACACTCTAAATATCAAGGCCAGTGATATTGTCCAGTTGCTCAGATTTATATTGATGGAGGTAGGTTCGAAGCTGTGGCACCTTAACCACCGCTACTGATGGAATCAGCTAATCATGTCAGTGATGTTAAGGTTTTAAAAGGATGCTTTTTTAATAATTTAGAATTATCCAGAATACTTTGAAACGGGAAGTGCTGGGTTCGAGTCCCGAAATGAATACTATCTTTGGGATGTAGGCACATTTCAATTGACCAGTTCCAAGTAGGACGAAACTCAATTTCTTGTTTTCACTGCTAGCCGCTCTTCATCTGTTTTGTGTACTGAAACTACTTGTTCCTAGCATTGATTACGTTATTGTTAAACTTTGAAGCAAGTTTTCATTGATCAAAGCACACTGGTTAATCAAGTTGTGAGCTTAGTATCAATATCAATTTATGGAATATTAATAGTGAGACAAAGGCTTATCGATCGAAGCTATATAGATTTCATCCGTCAAACTGTGAACTACATACAACTTGACTTCACCTGTTTCGGTTTGAGTAGTCAGCTTCTGTCACACAGAGTCCTCTTATTGATAAATGTTTTGATTCGGGTGATAAAATCCTATTCAGACGAAATTGTTCAGTTTTAAAGTAAACATTAATTTAAAGTAGTTAGTACAATCTATTCACTTCTGTTTAAGGTTTTGGGATTTAATTCCTAGTTAACACACAAAAAATATATTCTGGATAGTATACTGAACACGTGAATCACACAGTTTGGTTCAGATATGATGTACGTTATTCATGAACTACGTAACATTTAACATGGTTTTCTAAAATCTGCCTGTTTTTATAGGTCCAAAATTCCATTATTAACATTACTAGAAAAAGATATTCAACCTATTCAACTACTTCGACCATATTTCAATAAAACACATGAGGCTGAAATTGAATCACAAACTATATCAAGTAATCTTTCTACAGATGAACATTACCAGTTTGATAAATCTTTATGGTTTGAAGAGAACAACGTGCCATTAATACCTATCAATGCCCGAAAACGTCATCGCTTGAATTCAAATACGAACAGAGTAGAAGACAAATCAAGCATTGGAGAAAATTTCATCAGGATAGTGTTTACAAGAACGTGTCCTAAGTCCAGTGCAACGTCGGATTATTTTTCTATATCTCAGTCGGATTTATCACTAGTCGATGATACTTCACATAGTGGTATCGTATATCCGGAAGATCATTTATATGTTGCTGTTCAACCATTAGATATCGTTATTATTCCAGATGTAGTTAGTGAAATCACTGATTTTATCAACTTCATCTTAAAGTATGAAGGACAATGTACTACATCATTATCATCCTCATCTTCAGTTTGTACTGATGGGATAAAAAACATAGCTCCTGTGAAACCGTCTCTAACAGTACATTCACTACCAATTATCAGTGTTGAAATTGATTCATTTCGATTGTTCTATTTATTAGGCGGGGTAAGTTTCTAGAATTCACTTGTAACAGGATATTGTATCACGGTTTTTTAAAACTATGTTTTGCTAAGCTTAGTACTGGAATGTCATGTCGTAATTCACTCACTAGTGCATCTTAATAAGGAAGAAATTATCGGTTACTCATGGTTTTCATTATTATTATCTAATGATATTAATGCAACTCCTTTGTAATAAAAACACGTTTAATATGCTTCCAAACAATACTTTGTTTTAGTTATTCGTAATCAGTGTTAAGTCTGGTACTTGTATCCTTCGGCTCAATCCGCCATATTACTTTGATACGATAAAATCAGTCATTAAATAGTTGAAATAGTTTAGTAGCAATTAAAATTATAAAGTCTAAACACTGAGGATGTGTGAAGTAATACTAGAAACATATTCTAATCAACTCAGTTGATGAGGACCTACAACCTCATCAACCGATTCACTACAATTATGTGGTAAATTATGCCTAACCTCAAGGGTTAGTGCTACGTTCTGGTTGCTTAAATTGCAATTTTTGTTATACGATTCAAACAGGAAACTTTTTAGTTCAATACTAAGTGCTTTTAAGCATTAAGTCATAGCTCTAGATAATGTTAATATTTAATGAAAATTATTATCAAACTTCTACGAAAAGATAATAATGCAAAATTTATGTTACATGAAGTAGGCACTGAGTCTATTGTCCAGTACGACTATGAAGGCTCCGCGATTATACAATTTATCTCAGAGAACTCAAAACTAAGAAAGTACACAGATTAACTGTAGCGTTGATTGTAAATGATAATACTTTTTCAAAAATCTTAATTCTGTAAAAAATGATCCCATGTATGATCTAATGAAATGGTTAGTTATTTATATCGGTAACATAATAAAACTATGCCCTCTTTTTGACCTTAAGAATCATCAAAGAACAATTTCGGGAATTTAGCACCCGGCACTACTCGGTAAACAAAAAAGTCTGCTTTATTAGAAAAACTTTTGCTAAAAATTTATGAATTTCGAATGCTTACAAATTTTTAATATATGGTTTCCGTAACTTTCATAGTCCCTAATCGACTGTACCATCTTTAAATCATTTTTGGTACTAAAACCAATATCTATCAGTGTATGTCATTGTTTATCTGAAACTTTTCTAAACAGTAACTTGTTTTGTCTACAATTCCACGTTGCCTTGTTTGAATGCCAACATAGTGGGGTGTTATTAGATCACATCATGTATCATATTGCAATGTCTTTATTTGTTTTCTAGTGTGTTCTTAATAAGCCTGTAGACTATCACGCACGTCACTAATAACGTTATTTTTTACTAACATTCAGCTTTTAAAAAGTAATAGAATTTATATTCGGAAAAAAAGTTCCTTAAATTTTAACTTTCGCACGGTATCGTTTCTACTTCATGAAGACATAAGAGAACCATTTTAATTAACTTTAAAACATCACAGATATTACATAGAAACTTAATTCACTAAGCGATTATTAGTTGATGTTAATTCATAAATTTAATACTACTTAGACCTTTCAGGCTGAATTCTCTAAACTGATTGCTTTAGTTATATGTGAAATTCGAATTTGACGTAAGTAATACATTATGGAAAAACTTATTAAATTTATGATTATCAATATAAATGTAGCTGAAACTTTAGTATGAAAATGACTGATTTACTTATGCAGCAAGTACAGATTTATGTGCTCAGCTTTAATATATTTTGTGTAAGGGTTAACTATAGTACTCGGTTACTTAAACAGAAATGGGTGGGGCGGATCCCAACATTGGACTTACTTGTTGAGAGCTCAATGCTTTACCTAATAAGTTTTCGCTCCGTTTGACAGAAAAGTCTACTTTAATAGTTTATACCACTGTCTGATCTTATTTGAACAATCATACAGAAACAGGAAACGTTGGACATCCCTTTCGTCACAGTATAGGACTACTCAACAGTGCGCGTCCACAAACCTATATAGAATTGAATCCAGGACCTTCAGATTTCGTGGCATCCACTCCATGATGTAAACTACGGAATCCACAACATTGTATAATGAAAAAGATAAACGTATTGTGAATAATGTAAGCCATAGTCATGTTGACAACAATACCAATTTCTGTTTTCTTTTTTGTACCCCAGATATCTAAAGATAAAAATATCGCAAAACATCCAAATGCTTTAATGCTATCTTGTGATTTTATCCAAGTAAAGCAATTAGTGGAAAATCACATTGATAGACCCTGCTTTTCAAATGATTTCACTTTGAATCAATCATTTCCAATAAAACAATCTATTATTGGAAATGATAGACAATTTATTGTAATAGCTAACTGTATAAATATTACAGCTGTACCATTTGATTGTATGTGTCATGATAAACAAGTAATGGATTATAATTCATCTAATTCTAATGCTATTGCTCAAAATCCTGCTAAAGATTGGAATCGTACAGCTACTTATAGCGATGTGTAAGTAATCATTCATAAGCCACTTTGTTTTTTTGCTTTTTCATTAAAACTTTACTTTCTGATTAACAATGTCTTATCAAGCACACACCTTTATGTAATTGGCAGTAAAATGCAATGTTTAATTGAGTGAGGGATAATGATATTAAAAGAGTGTTCAAATTGATGTCTAGATGCATATCCATATATGTTTTTGATGATCATTGTCTTCGAATGATTGGTCACATCCGATAGGAACAGGATTTTAGTAATCTGGAACTCCATCAGTGTGTATTCGAATGGCACAGATGACAAGTTAATTAGTGTTACCATCTTGAGACATTAGCTACGATGGTAGTGGACATATTTTTATGTCACCTCACATTATCTTCCGAGACTCGGAGCAAGTGAAAAAGTGGAGAGGCATCAGTTTATGACATAGCATTATGGTATGAAATACAGGTGTATGAAACCTGATACATTGAGACAATCAGCAATCACCCATTGACAAGTACATGTGATTGACCAAAAATTGGTTTTATTTTCTAAGGAGTATATATATAATGACAAAAACGCAGTATGATTATACTTAGCTTAATAAATATTTGAATGAAAATTTGTAATATTTAGTGTTATGACAAGTAGTTGTTTAGATCTGAAGCCATCCATTTAAAGTTTCACTGTTACATTTATTACATTTGTAAGACTGATTTATTATTTATCACATTAATTTCTGTTCATGTGTTGTTTCTTTTTTTTTCATAGAGATGATCCTCCTTATGGTTGGTCTATTGTACATTCGTTTAGTGTTTCTGTTACATTTGCACCGGCTGTTGTAAAAAATAGTGAAAATTGTGATACAGTAAGTGAATATTGTTGATTTGAAAACAAAAGATTATGTGTCACTCTTGTTATATGAAACTTTTTGCCTACGATCGTTGAAATAGGATTCACCTTCAGTTACGTTATGTTTCAGCAACATATTATTTATGTTGGTTTAAATTATACACTAAAAGTACTGTAGTAGAAAAAAATTGTCAAAATTCTTCAGATAAACATTACATTATAAAGGGTTGATGACGTAATGATTAAATCATCCAACTTTTAATTAATGTCAAACTCTTTTTCATATCTACTTCGAGTTTAAGCAGGTATGTATTTTCCTAAGTCTTCACATCAAAGCTGTGGCTGAACGACAGATGACTGAAAGAATACGGGCCACAGTCTATGAAGTTTTCCACGTAACTGAATTAAGTAACGTATAACAGAAAAACATTTCCATTTCTGATCCTATGCAACGCTTGATCACTTGGTTCTCGATGGTAGATACTAGATTCTAGATAATAGTTTGAACATTATATAATAATGGGTAATTCGATCGTTAAGATTAATCCTTAAACTGGGCGTTAGGTCAATCAAATCAATAAATCACGATACTTGACTACATGATACTCTCAATTCATTTATCAAAATAACGATCAAGAACCAGTTATAGGTCACAATGAGAATTTATTAATAATACACAACATAAAACAGTTAACACATGAACTCAGTGCAGAACAAACGGGAAATCAGCCTTATACATCAAAATACTCTCTTATATTTAATGCAGCCAGATTTTTCAGTCATCAGCAAGTCACAGTTTACTTTGATCAGCATAATTTTACCTCTTCAATTTTTCGTTTCTTGAATTGTAGAATATTTACGGAGGATATTCCATGGAGTTGTCTCTAATGAATAATTTGTTAGTACTGGCCGACTGTGAACTGATTAAACATCTTATCCAATTAATACCTCGTTCTTCGTTTTCGTCTTCTTGTGCATCAAATCGTATTTCTCAGTCATCATCACACCAATCGTCATGTGTAAATCTATTTGAACGATTGTTTTTTTCATCAAATGATTCTAATTGCTTACTGTGTACACCCAGTCGTCTATTCATAACTGCTCATCAAATTGTATTTCTTATGTGGACACCTATTGAAAATAACCGTTCATCAGAATTTATTATACAAATTAATCAGCCTCATATGATTGTAAATATAGCTGGTGGAAATCCAAATATTTACGATAGATTTGAGTTTTCAGTAAATAGTTTTCAAGTAAGCATTTCATGAATTTATATCAACTTTGTTTCTTTTCATATTTCGGGGACTTATTTGTATGAAATAACTGAAAGAATTTGAAAATATTATTGTTGTATTGTAACGTCATCGACAGTTGTTCTGAGCCTTGTGTGTAGGTTCAAACTACTTGGTTGTTGTGTGAGTGGTTATCATAATCAATAATTAGAGATGTATAATGTTAGGATTCAGAATTGATAAGGGCTACCTGAATATACTCACATTTTGTTTTACTTCAGATCATGTGTTCAAAATTATCTCATACTTATTTTCCCCACGAATTCACCTATTCTTGAAGCATATTGTCTACACTTAATTTTTTCTATTATTATTACTACTACGAGATAATGCTACTACATGTTCTACTCTGGGATTTCTCTTGATAATTTCATTTTAGTATACTGATTTGGCGTGTTCATTGAATAGGTTCACATATATATCAGGTTTTACGTTGTGTATAACTGACTCCCTGACTGTTTCTTACTTACTTTTATGTGCGTCCAACTTCTAAACTAACGGTTACTCAGAGATCCAGATTACATATATATATGTCAACCAAGTTCCGTAACCTGAAACATTGTTTTTGTATTGTAGAAATAGGAAATATTTTATGTTTATGAACTTATGATTGATTGTTTGGATCTACGCGATGCGAGTTTGAATGGCAGTATTTCACAAAAGTTAAATTTTGCTTTAATTCTTGTATATGGTCTTATATCAAACCAATATTACAATTGCTCAACAAACAAGATATATTTATGGTAAAATTACACATTTATGTATATAAAGAAACTTGATTAGAAGTCGGCTAAATTTTTTTAGGTCATTTACCCACCAATAAAGTTAAGGATTGATGGTTATGTTTAATTCTTCCTCACTACCATCTAGGGTTGACAACATCGTGTCCCTTAATCGATTTCACAAACCTGTTTACTTGGTAAACGTTTTAGTATTGATTAATTTTCCACTCAATATTTGATATAAATGTATGTCAGATAACGATAAATGGGTTTTTCCGATATACTTCTTATAAAGTTGATTTAATATAATCAATATTTTCCTCCCCCCTTAAGGATTTTATTATTATTATTACAATTTACAGATGGATTGTCGAGAAAGTGGACTGAAATCCTCATGTACAATGTGTGAATCGGTTGTCATTAATAAATTTATTCGAGGAAAGTGTAATAGAGAACCTGGTGTTTTTGTTCTTCCATGTTTAATTGACAAGAAACTTTCATCTGATAATAAACCAAACAATACACCAATATGTAGTTCATCAATATTTTGGTATTCAGGTTCCAATGTGGGGCCTTCACGTGATGATATTATGAAACCGTGTTTACTAGTTACATGTGTTCGACCATCTCGATTTGATTTTTTATCTACAGTCACAGAAGTAAGATTTAGATAGAGATTATGCTACTAACGCTAAACCTTTTAACTTTTTCTCGTCAACAATAGAATAACTTTCCAGCTCGTCCATAACGAGCAAATTATTCATGTTGATAGATATTGTTATGGTTACCATTACAGATTGACCTTAACCAACTAATCATTGAAAATCAGAAAACATTACAAAGCTGTTTCGTCCTGCTCTGATCCTAGCATAGTTGCGAATGGTTGTTTAACTAGGGTCGGTCCGCGATATTAATTGTAAAATACCGGGTCTGTGAACTAGAAAGTCAAGAGCTCCGCCCAAGATCAGAAGGTCTTCAGTCCAATCCACTGTGGAGTCATGAGTGCGTACTACTGATATGTTCCATAATAACAAGTAAGGGTTGTTTTGTATATCTTGGTTTCTGTTGGTTGTCTAACTAAACTTGATTTGTGATGTTGATTATGACATTTAATCATCTCCATAAATTCCCGATACTGATAGATATCGCTGTGGTCTAGAACATGCTGAAAACATTTGTGAAGAAGTGAAGGCAAAGGCTATGCTAATATTCTATTGTTATATGGCGATGAATAGTTTTTAATTCTATTTAAAACCTTTATCTCATTATTAATGTTATTATTCACCAATAAACCGAATTTCTCTATAAATACCCAACCATTTTGTCTGTGTATCAGATGGCATCATTCATAAACTGTTTGTACATCCAATGTTTATTAGGATGAATAGGTTTCAGATCTTTAATTGTTGTCTATTGAAAAACGCTATGTACATATATTATTTATAAATAGTAGCAAATTTGAAAGGTTAGTGACTATCACTTTGTTAGAACGGTTGATCTGCGGCAGGTCCTAATTATGAATAGTCAGGATGTTCTTCTAATACGAAACAGGATCTACACGGACTCGATAGACTGGTCGACTGAAACAAAACACTTCAGTAATAATTCATAATGTTTTGTACGCTACTTATGTTGACAGATATAAGTAGTACGTCGTACTAATAGGAAGTGGAATGCCTGTCTGCAGAAGATTGAAATGAACAGAATGGGAAGGAAATCGGAGAGCAATCGAGATAACAACAGAATTAGAGGAATAACGAAGTATATAAAGGATAACGCAAAGAAGGTGTGCAAATGATATATTTAATGAGTGATTTTCATATTTTGCTTAGCCACTATATAACTCGGCATTAAACAAATCAGTTTTCTACACCAAGTCTTCTTTTACTACAATAGGATTGAGTGAAAGAAGCTTAGTTTTCAGCAGAAGCTTTATATATACTGTTGCAAAACATAACCATTAGACATATAACAGAAATAATAGATTGAAAGTGAGAATAACTATTCATATAACAACGAATTTCATTGAAGAATTATGAGTCATCACGGCCGCTCTTTCATGAGGGGTTCGGCATTTTATAATAAAAATCTAGATAATCTAAGGTCTTCTTAGCACATTCTTTAGACACCAGTATATATGTCAGCACAATATATGTTTATATTATTATTGTTGTTACTATTGTATTTAATTATGTTTCATATAATTTTATCTAGTCTTTATCATCTCAACATAATCGTTTCAAAGTACAAATTTCGACTGCACAAGATCATTTTTTCTGTGTTCGTCCAGATACAATTTTGTCTGTTTTGCATTTTTGCAAATTCTTCCATCAGTTATATGAAGTGAATCATAAGAACGTTACTAGTGAAACAAATAACTGCAATAATACTGTTATCAATCATAATATTATAATGTCTTGTGGCGAAAGTACTCAATCCTCTAGTACTTCTTATATAAACCAACCATCATCACTAATCACTGTCGCTAGACTTATTCATACTTTACACTTTTATTTCGAAAAAACTAATGTTGAAATTAATTGCATTAAGGTAAGTAACTCGTTTGTTAGGTTTTTAGAAAACTAATTTCATTTTTAACTTTTTGCTACAGTCTAGAACATGTGAATTTGTCATAATTGAAATCACGAACCGGTTTAAGTTAAATCAACATTCAAAACTTTGAAGCACTGGACGGGGGTTTCATCCTAATGCCTGACTTCTCAGCAGTGTACGTCTACCTATTTGGACGCGAGAGCCGAACACAGGATCTTCGGTCTCGGGCGTAATCGCTAAAAGATGAAATCTCCCAAGTCCTAGTAAAAAGCCGTGAGCATCGCAGCTCAACAGTATTGGGTGTGAGATAGTTACCCACCGAAGAGAGTGTAAGAAGGTTGCGAAATATCCTGGATTGATTGAGGTTAGACATTAACACCGGCGCAGTGGTCTATATGTTAAGTGTTTACGCGCGAGTTCGAAGATTTGGGGTTAGATTCCTGCGTGCGTGGTCGTGGGTGCGCACTATTGAGAAGCACCGTACTAGAACGAAACGGTCATCTAATGCCCATGATTTCAATGAAATTCTACAGGCTCAACAACCCTATACTTATAATCATTTCATCATTTTGATTGGTTTTTTGCATCAGTCCTAAACTCTTGGGCAATCTTTCTGGCTTGTGATTGGATCGTGAGCGATGTAAAACTTTGTTATGAAGTATTTATTATTCGTAATTGACATGCCATAAACGTGTGCTTTCTTTCGTATGGAAACTGTGATCCATCCATCCAATAGCATATTAGTTAGATGATGAATATCTGTATTGGATTTGATAACTATCTTTTATTGTAGTCAAGTTGTTTTCTTTATAATAAATGATTTATGTCCCTCATTACTCATTCATGGGAATTATTTATCACATATCAATGCATTGGATCTTTATTCATTGAGTTACTTGTTTAAATCTACTTCAATTAACTTTCCTTATAAGGAACACCTACTTATAGTGCTACAAGTTGTTGAATAAACTCAACTCAGAGAGGTTAGGTTTTACAAGCATAGAGCAAAATATCCCTTACCAAAGATTGTTTGAAATTCTTACTTTAATGTGTAAAAATCCTTTAAAGATTAGGGATATTTGTTTTGCCCGATTTTGAAACTGTGACATAATATCTGTAATCGTTTGTTGTTTTTCAAACCGGTTGTAGAATTTATTTGTCATATTTGTTTAATTTGTGACAGCAAATTTCTGTTATTCTCAGTAGTTATAAAGGTTCACACTGTTTTGCCATGTCAGGCGGAAGTATACTGTAATTCATGAATAATGTATCTGGCTACACTAAGCACAAGAGACCATATAAAATTGATTTCCTACTTATGGAGTGCTTAAATAAACTCATATTCTCACCTTCCTCTGATTCTTGTTCGTCATTCAGATCATTTTGGGTCAGGTGTATCATTTGATTAAATATTATAATCAATTAAGTCTACTGAGCTAGTCGGAGCCCACTTTAGTGTTTGTTCCTTCTAATCCTATTTTGTGGTGATTATCTACTATTTAGAGTTGTCTAAAGTCGTGAGTGACGAGTTGAAACGTGATTATTTTTCCATTATAACATTGTACATTTGTTCTATAAAAACCTCAATTTATTCAGTAAACTAAAAGCCTTATTTATTACTATTACCAATATTATTCGTACAATTAATTGATTCATCTTTACTTATCATCACCCATATAAATCTTTTCCCTCTATTCCTCCTTTCATTTTTTTCATTTCTATTCTGTTTTAGATTAATTTACAATTTAATGAGAGTATTGGGAAAATAATCAATTCTTCTAGTATGTTAGAATTAACACTAAAACAAATTTCAACATTGGTTCACTTTAATCTTATTCATTCAGACTTATTTACAACAACTTATTGTTGGCAAAAATTGTCATCTTTATCTTTAATCTATTATCATAATAATAATAATTTATTCAATGGTAATAATACAAGTAATATAGCTAATCATAAATCTATTCACCATTTAATATGGCCTAATACAAGTTATCAATTTGGATTATCTATTCATATTAAACATTGTATTCATAAATTCAATAGATATGCTAATTATTTATTTGATAAAGTTTATGGACATTTACAAATGGATTCTGGTATGCACATTCATTTACCTGTATTTGGTTATATCAATGAGTATATTAAAATGATTATCAATAAAATAATGTTTACTATAAAATCAATTGAAATATGTAATGGAAATTGTTGTTTCAATGATACATCTAGTAGTATATATGTTGAAGATACAATGAAATGTAATAGTTTGTGTATAGATTGTTCAAATAATGATCCTATAATATATTTAGATGATTTACGTAATCAAGAGAATTTTATTTTTTATAATTATCCATCTGTAACATCATCATCTAATCAAATGAACAGTATAGAACATAATAAACGTGAATGCCATATTGAATTATCCTCTTCTCATCCATATTGGCCATGGATATTAAATCAAAATAATTGGGAACAAACACCTTTAATAAATCATCCATGGCCATTACCAAATGAAGTAATAATCTATAATGGTTTGTTAAATAATAAAATTAATATTGAAGAAAGTAATGATTTACAAAAACCACAATGGTTAAGTATTACATGGATGTATAGTGAATTACGTACACCGACTTATTTGAAAGTACTTCCTGTACCGTTAGAATTGATCCCCTCAAAATTGGATGATAATTATTTATCAAATGGATTAGAAGTAAGTTTGAATCGAAAATTTTATTTTATTGTTAAATTTTACTTATAACCAAGTTTATTTCTTGTTATAAAAGAATATTACTTATTAAAACATTATAAAGCACTTTGTTTTAGTTATTAATAAAATCACTGATCTAAATATGCGTTGAATAATGTATTTCGTGTACGCCGTTTGTAAATTTCTAGATATACTGCGATCTGACTTGCCGCTTGATATGACCAGATTATCTGCTATTCAAACACCGATTGCCTATGTAGAATTCCTCTTTCCCAAAACTCATTGAGAATACAACAACAGGATAGTTGATCTCACCCTTATATCTTAGATTGAAAAATCACATGATGAGAAAATGCGAATAATGAGAATATCAGTAAGACATATTAGTGCAATTTAATATGAACTAGAAGACTGCCACACGCTTCTGTTAAGATTTAGATTATAAGTTTATATATCTTGGTGATGCCTTAATCAGTACAAGCTTACGAGTGTTATTTTAGGAATACTCATCTGGGTTGGTAATTTAATCATTTTCAATAAAACCACCTGAAATATTGGGGAGAGCGTTTAAGCAAATACGAAACTTTACGCAACAATAAGTATGGGCTTTTCAACTTTAAAACTCATGTCAGAAAGTATGGTTTTACAAATGACTAATAAATCTCAGACATTTTTTAGACAGAACACTGAATCTATGTGTTTTTATTCTGTGTTTTCTTCAGCTTCAGTGTTATTTACAATACTGGGACCCATTTTGCCATTATGGTGGAAATTTCGTGACATATAGCGTATTTGCTCTTAGCGACAGTCAAATAAATCAATATGTGTTATCAAAAAATAATCAACAAGGTCCTTATGGACCCAGACCATCCAGTCCTACTTCCCTTAAAGGAGAAAACAATCATGTCTTACAGTCAAATGGTCTAGTCATACGTTCATCATCTAATTTAAGCTGTTCCCATGGTGATGGATCGGTGCATTCATCAGAGCCACCAACTCAACCAGCAGCAGCTGTTTGGAGAATTCTTGTTGATTTACGAGTGCGTACTAGTTCAACTACGTAAGTTGCATGCTTCATGTATTGGTCGGCACTCTTTTTAAAACTGTAACAGTTACTCGCTATGATATTTTTTAAAAATCAATACTTTAATGTCGCCTTATTCTACGTCACTATATGTGACCAACTATTATAGTAATTTATAATTTATGAATGCGTATTTTAACTGGTGGGTACTAATTTTGTCCAACATCTCAATTAAACTCAGTTAAACTATCTGATAGTCTTCTGCTCAAACACCTGATACTAACTCCTCAGTCGCTTCTTAGATTCCACAAACTCTACCTCGTACAATACAATAAATGAGAGAATTAAGAACGAAAGCTCTATCTCAACTTTCGCTTAATTATAGAAAATAACAGTATTTATAAGTACATTGAATAACCGTTAAAATCCGGAGATATCTAAAAACCTGCCAAACCAAGTAACAGAGTATGTGATCATCAAATCGTCAATTTTCTATAAGTTTTTTTTGGTGTATGATGACTGAACGAAATGTTTGCAACCTTTTCTTGGCTTCAGGAAATCGTACCGTGGGGTTCTTGTAGAATATAATTACTATCTGACTCATTCTGGAATGAGATGTATTTGTCAGTCATATTATTTAATTTATTGATTACCCATAATATACACATACATTAGATCATAAATTAACCGCTGGTTCAGTTCGTCTAATTTTATTTACTGACCGAATGTTTAAAATGATATATAATTATTATTATTGTGGTTGTCGCTTAATTAGTGAATAATGAATAAATCAATATTCTTCTACAGTATTGTTTTCTTCCTTACGTCGGCAGAGCAGCCTCGTTCCTGTGCAGTACATAGCAGGTACCAGTTATTCTGCAATCGTAATAAATAGCCGTACCAGTAGTAATAGTCAGCACTTGGTTTTTAGTCACAATATCAAGTCGCTAACATATTCAATTATAAACCTATATATCTATATTTCCATGCCAGAAAGAAGTTGTTTAACGTCTCAATGTTTAACATTTGGCAGTATTCTAGAGGAAACCCATTAGAATACGTCCAACGACCTAACATCTAAACGTAAACGATATTGCGCCACTTAGGCTAATAGCCACATTTTAACTTGACCAATAGAATTCAGTCACCACCAAACAACGATCATTCAATATAAATTTGTTTAACATATGAATTTATTTTTTTCTTCTTCACTTTCATATTGAATTTAGTTCTAATCCGTCAGTCAATGAAAACTATCCGATTGCTTTAGCATGCTTAACCCCTATGGTTTTAGTTGGTGCTATTCAAATTGACACTATACATTACCCTAATAATCATATAATGGGTTATGATTGTTTATTTAGATGTCAAGTATCGAATCTAACAATCTCATTAATTGAACATGTAAGTCATGTCCGAAATAATTCGTTCATATGAAAGTTATGATAATCCTAGTAAGCTGTTTTCTGAAATTTCATTCATAATTATGAGATACTGAACGGCCGTCCTAGTATGGGACTCCTGACCAATGCGTATCTACGACCCCACATGCAGGAATTTAACCCCAAACCTTCGATCTTGCGCGCAAACACTCAACATTTAGACCACTGAGCCGGCATCCAACGGTGTTAATGTCTAACTTCAACCAATTCACAATGTTACACTACCATCTTCCATTGTCCTTCGGTGGGTAACTGCTTCACGCCCGAAACTGTTGGGCTCCATTGTTCACGGCTTCTCATTAGAGGTTAATAGTTAGCACGCAAAACAGACGGTCCTGGGTTCGAATCTTCCGCGTGCAGGGTCGTGAGTGCACACTGCTGGGGAGTCCCATACTAGTACGAAGTGGCTGTCCAATGCTTTGAGGTTTTCAATGGTGATTTAACATTGACCGATTCATGGTCTCAGTCAAAATCCAACAATCTCCACAACCCTATACTGATAATTATGAAATGATTGAAATTTGAAATATCCTTAGGATACCCAGACCCAATCAACAGATTAAAATTAATTGTTTAAGTAAGTAGGACTATTTGAGATCTGTAGAAAAAGTCATTGTTGCTTTTGTATAATGACACCGTATTATGATACAGTATTAGTGTATATTCTGAGAAAGATTTTCTCATAAGAAATTGATTCTCTTTACAGTAGTAAATGGATCGTTGAACTTTAGCAGTTAAATTTGAATACTTCATTTTCATTTTTTTAATCGTATATGTGAAAAAATCAACATATTGCCTTAGTTGAGTTTCTTTTTCTTTAATCATAATTACATTAGTAGGTATGAATGATGTTGATGACCGATAATTTAACATGTTTATCATTGTGTCAAGATGATGCATTTTTAAATAAAAATCAGTTCGCAGCTACGCTTGTCAATCTAAAAGTATTCCAAAGTAATTGAAAACTATGTAAATAGTAACACTTTTACTAAGCAAGTAATGTTTAAATAAAATTGATCAATACATTCCAGGTACTTGAATTACTTAACTGACTTCCTAATGCTTAACTTTACGTTTGGAACTTCAAGTGATTAGTTTATGAGTGGATACAACTGGAGGATATACTTAATGAACCCGAAGTTAGTTTATCTGATCATAGATGACGTATGACAGTTGAGGTAGTGTAGAATGTTCATAGCTCTTATAGATGCTTTTGGTGGGGATTCAGTCTCTGAGCTGGATAGTTTTATCATGAAGCTTTCATTGTTCTTCTGAACATTATCATCAGCAGAACAAACTTCAGGTAAAAATGAGCTATTCGAATTTCTCCACATACGGACGACATTTTATCCTATTATTCTTATTTTGGTTGGTTATTGTTGACCTTCAATTAGTCATTGTATCCTTGGCACTCAGGTTGATCAACAATCAATAAACTTGTCGAAAGTGGAGCTGATTTATCAACCAACTAGAAAAATCACGGACAATCAAGACAGGTCGATAAAACAAGCTGTCAGTCAGATATGAACAAATTCGAATACCTCACTTATACCTAAAGTTTGTGGTGATTACACTGTTCGGAAGGACTATGAATGCTTCACGGATGAATCATCTAGCTCAATGGGCGAAACACCAACAATATTATGTTTCAGTTGATATATATATATATATATATACATATATATATATATTCCGAAATTGAATAACAGTGCTCTTAGCCCATTATGAAATATTAGATTAGATTAAAAGTGTTTAATTTCTCTCAAATTGTTTTTTTTTAAACACTTGGAATAAGTTACTTATACTTTCATTTTGTTTTTTCCAGCAATCTTCAGAACATCAAAGTGTTGGCGGTTTCGAATTGAGTCGATGTAATCTAAAAGACTTAGATTTTCTATATAAGTCAAATTTATCTTCTTTCAAAACTATACACTATCCTTTTGATAAAAATATTAAATTTGAAATTGGTCAATTTTCTCTATTGACAGCTGATGTAAATTGGTCTAGAATGCAACAAACTGTGATTAATAACAATCTAATTTGTTGTTTATCTAAACAAAAACTTGATATTCTATGCAAATCATTGAATATTTTCATTAGTTCAGATCGTTTAATAAGTATGATTATTTTAAATAAAAGAATACAACAGTATATTAATGAATTTGCAAATATTCTCTTTCAAACTGATAATTTATTTCATAAAAATTCTCAATCATCTATTAGTGATGATGCTACATCAAACAATAATTCTACTTTAGGTTGGACGTTAATAAATTATTCTAATCAGGTAGGATTTTGACTAATCTAAGTAATTTTTATAATGAACCTTTCATTTTACTAACTAATGGGTATTTTCAGTAGATGCAGATGTTGTTAGGTCATCTTTCATGTCATCGATGTATATTTCATTGATAAAAGTCTAGTACAGTGATGAAACAATCTATTATTGATAAAAAAAAACAATTGTTATGTATTTGGACGAAATTGACCAACAAATGATTTTTGTCTTTTATCATTTAAAACGAGCAGAAGAAATACCTATGTGAAGTGTTAAGAATGTTAGAAATGATAAAGATAGGTCAATTTTTCTCAAATACTCGTTTCTTGCTATGTAGAATGGGTATAACGTCCCAATAAACGTTGTTGCTTGATCTGAGCCGTAAATACTTGATTTCGATCTCAATTACAAGTGCTTATTTCTAAATCCTTAACTTTAATTCTCAAAGCCTGACCCTATCCAAGAACAATTTTGGGTTTCTTAAAAATCTTTTTACGTCCTTTTGAGAAAATATATAGTCGATATCCCTATACACGAATTTATATGACGCTAGTTTTTAGATTTACAGATAAAAACCTCGTGAAGATGTTGATAGATTGAACAGTCATATAAAAATTGTTAACACCGTTATATTCTGGTTTCTTTTCTACAAACTATTCACTTGCAAAAGCTGTTTTCTGTTTGGCTAACAATTGTCTAAAAATTCGCCACCACTGCTTTAATCCCTTCGGGATATCATTATGGTGGCAAGTGTTGTTTTTATAATTCCCATAACTGAGCGGGCATTCAACAGTGTTAATGTTTAACTTCAATCAATCCATGATATCGAGCAACTATCTTCCATTGTCCTCGGTGGGTAACTGCCACTCACTTAACACCGTTGAGCTGCACCGGTCACGGCTTCTCACTAGGACTCCTCTCGAAGTTAGTCACGAGTGAGCGCATGATAATTTTTTGTATGTCTTTGTCCATATGCATATCATATTTCATAACTTCAATGGATTTTTGTAATCATAATAACTCATTTTGGTTTTAGTATATTCCATTGTCATGCTTAACATGTGACTTATTTGTAGTGTTCTTCATTTTAAACGTTTTTTCCCACTTATTTTTCTGTCAGATTCTTCTGTTTTCTTTTCAATTAGTTTATAGTTTTAGATCAATTACCTTTGGTGAAATATCTGTCTGCAAACAAAACAAATCAATCTCCTGTAGAAGTTGATAATTCTTTCAATGAATTATTTCATATATTTGTTAAACCTAGACAATCTGTATATTGGAGACCGATTGTTTTTCCTGGACCAATTACATCTTCTGGGCATGCATTTCGTATAAAGTTACGAATTGGAATTACTTCTAATAACGGAGATAATAAGGTTTGTGTATATAGTTATACTTGATGTTAAAACAGGTTCTTTTTTAAATAAGAGTTGTTTTTGTATTTTCCGGGTGAGTTTTTGTTTCATATGATGATATCTCTTTGTACAGTTGAAATAATAAAATGGAATATAGGTATCAATACCAAGATTGGACTTGATGTTTTCAAATAAATTGAGCATTGGGTAGCAAGTTAATAATAAATATATTTTTTGTCATATCCCAATGAGTAGAAAAATTGTATTTCGTGACTTAACGTAAGCCACTTCAGAGTAAATAAATAACTGGAGTAAATAGTACAAAGGAAACAATGCAAAATATTTTCAGTTCAATCAAAATCATGGTAGCAGTACATACTACTTTCAGTAGTCCCTAAATTGATATTAAAAATATCAAAATAATTCAGAAAGGCTTTTCCAATTATAAATTAAATTATAGCCGAAGCGTTTCACATAATGCTAAATGCATCTGCTCTCAATTGGAAAGAAGGTCTGGATATTCATCCAACATCTTTCCAACTCCCCTAGGTAAACCCTCCGTATCCACCAACCCGGTTAAAACGCTGGATATTCGCTTTTCGTCCTCTCATTTTCGTAAACAAAACCCCCTTATCAAGAAGTCAGTGAATGGGACTTCCCTGGTAGTGGCTGTATATGCGTGGTCATGTGAGAGCATTTCGATAGGAAGAGCAGACTCTCCCCACTCTCGGCTATACCAAGGCATTTGTGTTTTTTTAAATGGAATTTTTTTATTTTACTTAGATTAGTTAACTTGAATTTAAAATACTTCTTTTTCTATATTTAATTATTTTTCTAATTGTTTGATTTATTAACATGAAATGTATAATGTATTTGTAATGAATTTATCTATTTCATAAGGTTTAATTAGGTTACTTATTATAGATCATTTATACAAGTGAGATTTTAAATATGAAGACAATATATACTTAGTAATTAATTTTATTGAATAAATTATTTGATATAATGACTAAAATAAGGTTTGTACTTTCGACTTTACCATTTGGACGCTAAGAACTAGTTATCAAATAATGTATAACCAGTAGTATCGTTAGGTGTTGACTATTAGGTAATTAGACTGAATATTGAACTCAGTTGATATATTAGATAATAGATCAGTATGCTGGATAACACATACTTCACGTCTGACTAATGATGAAGAACCAGGTTAGACTTGAAAATAATTTGTTGACATAAAATGTAGGCAGTTAACATACGGTGAACTCCGAGTAGAAATCATATGTGAAAGGGATTTATAATATTATATAGTCTCATATATTTAGGATAATTGAATGTATCTATCCTCACTAAGTAACCAGTTATGTTTTATTTTCATCGACACATCGGTTGTGATTTGTAATTTGAAAGTTTTGTTTGCTGGACGATAGATACTATTATCAAGTTGCAAGAACTTTGATATTGTGAATTAACATTCAAACTTCTTACTTGTCAGCTTGATATTTAATGTCCGAACCGTTTGCTTAATCACATAATTGTTAATTTTTGACTTATATGAAAACTTAACCTCATTTCTTTTTAATAGGTATTTTTGTGGTCTCATCCAGTTGAGTTACCCTGGCCTCTTCCACTGCACAAACAGCATAGTGATATTTTATGTGCTTTATCCTTGAAATGGGAGGAAACTTCTCTATGGACCACTGAAATTATTAATAGTACTTTTCAATTTCCTGAACTTTATTTAATTATCTGTTCTACTGAACCCAGTGGGTTACCTGGGAAAGTACGTTGTAAATTCATTTGAGTTGGATATCGGTGTTTAATAAATTAAATTTTTTAAATTTTTATCACATAAGAATCTTTTTTTTTCTTAGTTGTACTTTCAGATTCAACAACTAAATAGATTTCATTCTAATTTAATATTTCAAAATGTTTTGCTCTAGTACCTGTTGTATGAATAAATGAAGCAGTAGCTTAATGGTTAAGATATTCGACTTCCAGCCAGCGAATCACAAATTCGAATCTTACTACATTTATTTTAGTTTGAATAATGGAGTAGTATTACTAGTTTTCACATTTAAAATATGGCTTAAACTCAAGTAAACCAATCCGTTTCTACAAAATGTGTAAATGTAGTTTTTCTGGTTCTCTTAATTATTTTTATATCATTGTTGTCAAGAGACAATAATCTCAATTTCGCATTCTTAAATGCTTATATTGATTTACTAATTCTGTTATTGTTGATATAATATGCATGTCAGTTCTACACCATTCCAGTGACCAAATGTGTATATAATTTGATTATTTGTGGTTACAATTGTTTTTAACCTACTTATACATAAAATCTTTCAATTTTTCGAATATTTTCAGACAGTTTATTGCGCGATCGAATTTTATTTTCTAATAGACTATTACTTACATTAAATGAATACAAATACAACTGTAAAGCTTGAGAAAACTTCATTGAAAAGTTTATTCACTGAAATAGTCTTTATTATTTTCATTAGTTATTCAGCTAATGACTTGAAGTATATCAGGCAAAAATAGCCTAAAGTTAGTATGAATAAAATAAAAGGTATTTGTAGTTTGAAAATGACATACTAATAAGTATGTTCTATACATTTTCAAAGTAATGGTCGAACTTTAACTCTGAGAGTTATGTAGATATAATTCGAGTTAAAAATACTTTATAATACTCCAGCGATTCTTGATGTATGTACACGGTAAGAAAGGAAGGGCTGTTATTATACTAGAGGACTTTTGGTATTTCCATAAAATGTATTATTAATATATAACGTATTTTGTATTTAAAAGCACTATTCGATTGATACGTGTTAATTATTTAATTACATCACCTATATGATTGATACTACTGCATAGCAGAAAAATATAACCTCTGTACATGATAATAATCCAAATGAATGTTGATTTAGAGAATTGACTTTCTATCAGTACTCAGTCGAATTTCTTGCATTACCAGTGTAATAGTGATCTTCTATATCTAATTTTTTTGGTGTTTTTTTTCAAAATCCTTTTCTTAGTTTTTCGTTATCCATTGTCAACACATATCTATTAAAAGAGCACGGAAACTACAAGAGAAAAAATCAAAACACCTTTCAATGTTATTAGTCAATGCCATTAAGTTTTTAAACCTGGTATGAACACCTAAGTTAATGCCTAAATTAAATCTTCTTTGGTATTGCTGACTCTTCACACTTGTTTTATAGCTACTAAAATCTGTGTCAGGCTGTAAATTGACTAGGTATTTTATAGTCTATTATACTGTATTCACTGAAAGTTTTAAAAAGTGATCTGTTTCATAATCATTTGGTACTTTGATTCGACGCTTATTAATTAGTACTAGTATATACTATTGTTAAATCTACTAAAGTATATGGGTCTGTACATTTAATCAAATTTTTCACACTCTTTATCTATCGTTTATTATATCTATCACAGAATATTTCTTAGTATAAGATTTCATTTTTATTAAAAATAATGATAATTGAAAAATTCATGGAACCTAATTTTGCTATATAGTTTTAGTCTTTTTAATCAATTACTGAAATAACTAAGGTGACTGACTGGTAATACTCTCATAGGGCCAACTCACAAATCTTACACAAGTGTGGATTGGAAATTAAAGCTACCAACCGACTGAGAATGTAGATACATATAATGAAATGGAAACTAATGCTTATTTGCAAAATATTACAACCAAATAATATATCTACCAGTTTCTGAGTTAAATCCAAAAATTAGCGACATTAAGACACTGATTACTCTTCCATCCTGCTCGTTGTAACTGTCTTGGAGATTGTGTTTCCTTCTTTCCTATTAATTGATCACTCGAAAATCACTTTTGAATTGATTTATTTTTCGTGGAAGCAATTACAAGCCGTACAGCTAAAAGAGAATGTTTTTCGTCAGTGTTATCATTGTTATATCCTCGAGATATCTTCATTATCAGTTAGTATGATGAGTTCACAGGATTCTTCACTTATTTCTATCTGATTAGCTCAATGATGGATCTGTTTCTTGTTTGTTTTCTATTTATGAATTAGTTTGTATGAATATTTTGATTCATGTTTATGCACTTTTTTCTTCTTTTTTATGATAAAAAGATCATCTTACACTCTAATGTCGTTGTACGTAACTTGTTACCTGTATGCTTAACTTGTTCACTAACTACTTCAACCAATAATAGCCTGGATAAAGAACGTTTAGTCACAACTGGGACAGTAAAGAAGGATTTATCGGAAGCTTCGAATCAGGATAAAACCGTCGATAAAAATTCACAATTCACACAACAATTATTTCAAATTCCAACTGGTCCAGCCATGGAATTTATTTCAACATCTGCTAACATTTCACCAGTTTATAAAAGTACTCTTGGATGTGATTTATGCATATACTTCAAAGTAAATAATGATTTCTGTTCTGATGATCAAATACAAGAGAATAATACATTGTGGTCAGATCCGCTAAATTTTAAGATACCATTACCTGACCAGTTGAACTCACAGACAGAAACAAGTCATAGAACTCTTATTCAAGTAAATCATTTTTATTATTTATTGTAAATTGAATAATGTTATAATAATTTGGTAATACATAAATGTGGTTACTATTTTTTGTGTTCTAAAAGGTATCTGTATAGCAACCAATAAAATAATCAAATATAAATTATGGAGTAAGCGAAACTTCATAAGACCGTTTTTGCTATTTAGCTTACAAATAATATGACTTAATTGACCACGTAAACATCTCTGTGTTAAAACATCGAGTTTGTACAGTTCTTCGTGATAACATTCATATCAGCATGACGCGGTTATTCTCTTCTAACCTAGAGGTAAATAAATAACTGTTAGTATTTGTTAAGTCTATTAATATTGCTTCGTATTTTTCAGTGGATGTGATACCAGTGTCAATAAGTCCGGATATCAATACCATAAAAAATTTTTTAGTAAATACTGATACAGCATACAATTGACAATTTACAGGTAGCGAACAGATTTGCAGTTGTTCACTGGACGCTTAATTATGTTACACCTTGATAGCAAAACTTTCTAGTTTTAGAATCCCATGTTTCAGAGTAATTACATTAGATATATTCTGCAAACGTTTCTTGAAAAGCATCTATTTGAAAATCCTGGACTATATAGACAAAATATATTGTTCAACAAAGAGAAACTGTTAGTCGAAGTACAAGGTGCATCGTGGAAACTAAAGCGTAACACGGACGTAATGGCATACAGAATATAATACAAAGTATTTTTTAAATAAAATATTTATATTTTATTAGCATTAGTCATTATTCCCAATAATTCATAATGCTCGTTTTGATCATTTATGTTTGTTTTGGTTAATATGAAAGCTGTGGCTGAACCAGAACAGGTGGTCTTCTTAGGAGATCATTACATTCTTGTCTGGAGTCACATTCTAATCGGTGAGATAGTGGAGCGATGTCAGAATTTCTTTAGTTATCAATAGTTAAACTATGTCTCTCACCTTTGTTTTCTTCATTATCTTGTAGCTTGTATACACTTCTGCTTTAGAACAAATCATTTTCCAGCTACTCTGAATGTGTTTTCAGCATATATAAAGTCTATTTAAACACTAAACCTTTGTTTTATTAGCTCCAGTATTGTTGAGAAACTTTCGTTACCTAATGTGTAGAATTTTCCTGAAATTGGCTACAAACATCCTGGGGTTTAAAAGCACTCCGAGATATAGAGAGTGGTCTCGTGTTTACTGTTGTACAAGAGTGTTCTGGGCTATTTACCTAATAGAACTTTCTTGTTGCGGCTAGTAAACAAATGCCTTGCACTAAAATTCAGATGTTTGTACACGCACTTGTACTGTATTCACTGGAAGTCATGTTGGTACATTTTATAATTTCCTGTTGTTTATTTCAAGTTCTCTAGACGACTGTAGTACATTACCATGTATTCATCTGTTAACCAATAACTAACGTATTTACTTTAAAAATAGAATTCTTTATACTGATTTTATTTTGCTGTCCAGCTTACCTTGAATAATGAAAACAATAAATCAACTGGTTCCTCTACATTTTATGCTGTCATTACTGTTGAATATTATACTACAAGTTTTATTACTCCACCAATTTGCATAGTAAGTGATTGTTCGGGAGATTTGAATTATTTACGTTGTGTTTTCCTTCATTACCATTTATAAAGTGTTGTAATAATGTTAATCGGAGTCAGACCGCCATTGAAAACCTAAAATCACTGGGTAGTCGTTCCTTCATAGTGCGGGATTCCTACATTGCATGACCACTTTCCATTGCCTATGAAGTATAATTGTCTAACGCCCTATATCGTTGAATTCCACTGGTCAAGGTTTCTTACCAGAACTCCAGGAATTACATCTAGAAGCTAGTTATTAGTGGACACAAGATTATTGGCAGTGTTGGGTTTTGTGACCATAGAATTTTCATAGACTCTATATGTTGATGTTCAAAGAGTTGTTTCCAGTATTTAATTTTAATCATAACTATAAATAAACTGCAAATGATGTTCTCACTCATTTTCTCTTAGTTGCCTTTCATTGAGTAACTGATTTCCAACAGTTTTCCATTAATCATCATTTCATTTTGACCCACAATACTTTTCATATTGATGTCAACACATACTACATAGTTTGCACAATTCATGATTTCCATTTTCTCATTCCAAATATTTTGTCTCTATATTCATATTTATGTACCGTTCTCCACCTGTGTCTTTCCTTCAGTTTCCTTTGGTGTTTTCTAAACAACTCACTCATCTCATCATTCTGTGTATGTTTAGATAGTGTTATAATCAACACTTGGTCGTTATGATAATTCATCTCAAATTCTTTTGTCTGGATGCAAAGTGTTATACTTCTGTCGGGTTTAACAGTTTTGTCAATTCAGTTGAAATTATAACCATGATAGATATAAGGAAGTTGCACATCAGTGACCACAGAAGATATCACGAATTTATTGACGTTAGAATTAGGCACCTTTGGATGCCGGCTCAGTGATTTGAACGTTAGGTACTCGCGTGAGATACTGAGGGTCCTGGCTTAGGTTCCCAGTGGTAAGGGTCATGTAGACACACCGCCAAGAAGTCTCATATTAGGACAAATTAGCTGTCCAGTGTTTGGGAGTTTAACTTTGGTCGGTTTGGGATCTCTATAAAATCCAATATTTCCCACAACCTCTTTACTGACATTGGAATACTATGTTATACAGATGTGTCTTACGGTTTTTTTCACAAGACATTTTCTGTTTCTATAGAACAGATTAGTGGGGTTGAAATCCGAGTGATTTAGCTGTTTGTTAGCCTCCAATCTATTTGCATAAATTTTGCGAGGAATTGGGTTTACTGCCGGTTGTTATATTTATAAGCCAACTCTTAATTATTACTGGTTATTATTATCTATTTGTCCGCTGCACCTTTTAGTATTTTATGTAACCATCTTCTCTCTTGACAATTTCTTCCTTCTGTTTTTCAGTATTTTGGTAGCTATACTTCTCTGTTTATTGATCAATTTTCTTTATTTAGGCTGTAACTACATTTGTATACATTGAAAATTCCTTGTCTTAATTGAATCGCTTTTCTTGCAACGATGTGCGATATTCTACTACCATTGTAACCAATTTCTAATTTAAAACAGTTTACTGAAGGTTATATATGTAGTAGAAGTAACTATTTAAGCTCTTCCTTGTCAATTTGTATATATACAGTAAAACATTTTCATATCAATTACTTCAACATAAATTTCTAATGTTATAATCAGTGAACTGTGTATGTTTCTCTTTTAAATACAGATCACTATATCACCATTATTCGAGATTTTGAATTGTATACCAATTCCACTAAAATTGGAGAGTAAAGCGATTAGCCCTCAGCAAATAATCAACACAAACTCATTATCAATTGAAATTATTTCACCTGCATTATTCAGTCATGAAAACTGGTCGGCATGTCAACATAATAAAAATATACGAGATTTGTCAAGTTCATACCTTCATGTATTAGCTAAGCCTATTCGATTGGCTTATCATTATAATTTACTTTTAACAGGCACTCTACCGTAAGAATACATTTTAAAATGTTCTTTTTATTTTATAAATAATTCACCTCACCTTAGACCAATTGCCGTATCATTTCTTTCATCATTTACCTATAATGATAAATTACACGGCAGTTCGCTCTGTCCCACTATATGGTTGTAAAACCTAGCGTTGAAAAATAAAGGATTTCTTTATGTTACTAGTAGTTGATTATGATTTCCCTCAAAATATTGCTCATTTATGTTGAAACCATGGAGTTAAAAATTCTGAAGTTAGACACGTAGTAATAAGTAAGGATAGCAAATCGATTGACAAGGTGGTCGATCACCATCGCTTGAAGGAGTAGAGACATGTATTTCCAACCACCATCTACCTTATCACATGACATTGGATAATATATGAGTGAGTTGGAAGCAAGCTATAGACAGCCAGATGAAAATATGATATCAGTCCACGAAGTCAATGTCTGTTGAACGTAGCAATGTAGGTAGGTAGAGACCATCCAGTCTAGGTCCGTATAATCGTTATAACCAATGGTCCCAGTGGCGCAAATGCATTCACTAATTATCTTCTCTTAGATCTTGAGTTCAAAAATTATTTTATACCTTTGATTCTACCAGTTCTTTTTTTTTCTTTCCAAGCCATACTATCTATGTCTACGATTTTTAACTATCATTGGTACTACTACCATTAATTCTCCGGTATTCATCTCACCGTGGTGCGTCAACTTGAACCGACATATATGTTTTAGGTCGTAACGGACATTTTGGTTATACCTATTATATGATACACAACTGTCTGCATATAAATGGTTATGTTTGAATGAATATTCTCATACTTTACTTCAGCAAATAAACGGTCATGGTAATGCGTGTAATTAGTATTAGGGATTTTTGGAGATTGTAGTATTATCACAGTTAAACCACGAACTAATTTTAGCTGAGCCACCATTGAAAAACTGGGAGCTTTGGACACCCGTTTCGTCTTAGTACGGCTCTCCTCAGCACCTTGCATCGATGACCCTGCACATGAGAATCAAACCCCAAGACTTTCGGTCTCGCTTAGCCTGTAGACCACTGTGTTGGCATCCGATGGTATTAGGGTCGTGGATACGCACTGCTGAAGAGTTCCGTACTAGCACGAAACACCTGTCTGCTGCTTTCAGGTTTTCGTTATTGCTCTATCTAAGATCAGTTCGTGATTTCAATTATGAAAATACTACAATCTATAAATCCCTCATAGTAATACATTATAATTGCTGAGCTATGAACTCACATAAAATAAAAATTTGTTTCAATAATTCACCTGAAATTTCCACGTTAATTAACGGCATAAATCACTTTGATTCCTTGAAGTCATAGTAAAAAATGTATTGGTTTTGCCATTTTTTGTACTAGCTACTCACAATTACCTGTTATTTTCTTTCTATGTAGAAATGGCGAATCAGTATTCTCACACCCAATACGATTAACTGGTCATGAAATTTTGAAAAAGTTAGCTACTACTTATATAAATTATAATAATTCCATATTGAAACATAATAATAATAACAATAATAATTCAGATGAAATTTTCTTAACAAAATCTACCCAGTTAAATAATTCATTGCCAATTATATCAACATTAGGCACTATACCTAAATTCTCATTTGTCAATAATTCAATGAATGATTACTTGGATTATTTACGTAATGATAATGAAAGAAAATTAATTTACTCAAGTTTTTTACAGTACAGTCTGCGAATTGTTTTACGTTCACAATTATTATTAATAAATTGTACAGGAATTGATTTATATTTGAAATTTTCATCTTTGAGCAATGACTGTTCCTCGTATACTGACGATTGTGAAATACCCCTTCAAGATAATAAATGTTTGGTCTTATCGAAAACTCAAGTGAGTATTTATCTAAAATGTTTAGGAAGTTAAGCCAATTGACAATTTTTTAGAATGTACTTATTAGGATAACTGAGTTATTTGTTATACTCACGAAGTCACCATCTTTTTTCTTATGTATAGTGATGTCTATAGTTCAGGATTGGATTAGGCAAGGACCTGAGCGTAAATAGACCTAAACATTGTATTCACTCACAAAAACGGTCACTCGTTATAAACCTGATTTCTATAGAAAAATTTTAAACTACGAGTTTAGGTTCCCAAAAGTATAGACTTTAATGGCTAAAAACTCTGAGGTGTGAGTTGTTTTATTACCTATCTATCAAAGCCTAAGGGAATCAAATGGGATTTGAAATTACAAGCTGACTTATTGTGTAGTACCGCAACAAGAAGGACATTTAATTGTATGTTGGTTATCTCCATCTTGTTTGAATACAGTTGTTTTTTTAAAGTTTTGGGTTGATGAATTTGTTACAACAACTAACATTATATGATTGTTTGTTCGTCCTTAATCTTTTTGTAATTCAGTCTTATCCCATCCAGTATCCTTCATGTATCCCAGCGATATTTTATTGCATAGCAAAAAACTGATAAGATTTCGAAATCGATGGATCACATGGTTTTTCTTAGCTGAGTACATATATTGCTCGCAAAATTCAACCTCTGAATCCTAACTAAATGAATATTCGTATACACAGAACTATTATTCTATTGTCGTTTACATATTTAATGTCATATCAACGTAGTTTGACTACTAGATACTCATTAGAAAATAAATAACAAGGTAATGATGGAACGAATGTTATGACATATGGAATTAGGTTACTTTTCTGTTCATAATTTCATTATATCTCAGTAAATTCAGTTTCAAAATCACATCGTATTTTTCACCTCACATTCCCTGATTAAAACGTAATGCGAAAGAATCTCACTTTTATTCACTTGTTTCGGAATTTTACCTTACACTTATGTGAATCCAGAAGTTCTTAAGTCTACTGGGCCCTCGTGATCAATCCATTTGATAATAGAGTCCACTAATGACACATACCTTCACTCTAACTAATGACAGGCTCTGACCAGATATAAGTAACCTTGGAAGTGACCACGAATATCTCTACTCATCTTGATCAATAACGAAACTCATCTATAGCCCGGTAATCTGTTGGAAGTCGAAACACAACAATCAGATAATACTCCTATCCATAGGATTATATACATTAATTGTCAGTCTACAACACACAGCAAGTAGGAAGCCAAAAGTGATAAAGAACGTTTCAGGAGATGAATAATCAATGAAAGATAATTATAGGCACGTGAAACTTATAACAACAGTTTATATGTTTAACATAATCTTTTGATACGAGGAATATAAAATTAGAATAATTTGTCATTTATACGATGAGAATAATATATAATAGTTTTTCTTTAAATAATCCTAAGAACCCTAACTTCTCAAATATCCGCTCCGTCCTTCCATAATAATTTACTTTATTTGAGTTATCCATTAGTATTTTGTTTCTGCTAAGTTTTCTGGTTAAACTCTAGTTAGTAACTTCCTACCTGCTTCCTGTATTACCAGACTCAATCTACACTATAACATGAACAATAGAGAAATAAAGGCGGAGTATCAGTTGAAACTTTGCTCCAGGGTTAATTTATATGCAAAAAATGGATGACTTTGGCCTTTCAGAAACTTCTGAAAACATACTAATTTCAGTAACAAAGTTAATAGTTATCTAATCAAAATACGACACATTATCATTCCTGTTTCTATAACATTTTTTTTGCCTGTTGACTGAATGGAACGTTTTCAGTCTTCTGAATTTCTGGAGACTTTTCAGGGGATTTTCCTAGGGATTCATCAGTTCCCGTGTCAACTCCATAACTTTTATTTAATTTATTATTATGTGCTTTTTTCATTCACTCATTTTCTTTTTTTTCCTTTTCCGGTGCAGCGTCATTTTCAATTAGGTGTTTTATTTAATAATGAAATATTTTGGTCTGAAACAATAGCCATACAACAATTGAATCCATCGAACGAATCAGTAGAGGATAACCGAAAAAAGAATATTGATAAATATGTAGATTTATTCTTATGGAACAATCAACCCAAATGTTTATCTTTTTCGAATTCTTATAGTACAATAAGTATTAATATTTTAATTAAGAATAGAATGTTATGTTTAACAGTTGAATTGAAATCAAGCAATCAAATGAATAATAATATTGATGGTAGTGATGAAGATTATACTTTGACTAGATCAAATAATTTCATTATTACAATTAAACCGAGATTTTATATTCAACACTGGCCTACTGATTATATTCCAGTAAGATTTAAACCAATTATTATCCCTTTACAACATGTTAACAATACCGAAATAAACAATTTATCTATTGTTCCAGTAAGTGATAAGCAGTTTTCAATGTTTTGTTCTTCTCTATGCATTCTGCCTTATTTTATACCAATAGACTTATGGATTTTTACATTGTCTAATGATTGAATAAATAAATAAAAATCGCAAATCTAATCCTGCTGGGTTTTTTTAACGTTGACTTGTTTATTTGATAGGTAGATTTATTTTAAAAAATGTAAAGAAAACCATAGAATAAACATTACAATTAGTATGGATGTTATCATTGAAAGGCACGACATGTTTTACTGGTGTTTTAATCAATTAATTGTATCGTAATATATTTATAATGATAAGTAAACTTTAGAAGCTTTCTTTATTGTAATGTTATCTGATTCTTTATTCATATCCCAGTTAACTTCGTATATTCTTTAGAATAATCTCGCTGTATAATGAGATTCTCTGAACACAGCGATATTAGAAATTGGATAAGAAATATTTTGAGAATAGATTTATTTCTGACAAAACAATTTAGTAGGCCATACGTGTAAAAGAATAAGACTATGAGAAGTGTAAATTGTGTGTAGTGTTGTATGCTGGATGTATAAATTAATTGTGTAGAATGTGAATTGACTCAACAATCAATCTCTGAATGAATCGTTGACTCAGTTCATATATCCAAAAATTTAATATAATACTAGACAAACACATATAAGTATTCATACGTCTAGAACGAAGAATAAGTTTGTATAGATCTATGTTGTAGGTGAATTATTGGGGTAGGAATATGTAAAAGTGAATTTTTAGCGCATCTCTTCAATGTTCAATATATTTGCAATATCTAACATTTTTCCAATTATTTAGTGGGTGAATGTTGCACATAAGAGCATAACTTTCACTTGGGGATTTGATTTCAAGCCATACGTTTTACTTTATTCGCTTTTTCCATCCAGAAATTTGGGATGAGGTACAGTATTGTGTTCACAGAAGATGTATATAGATAGCTTTAAATGATTGAAACAAAATCTCTAGGGAAAATTACACTCTTATATCCAACACTGACCCAGTAAGTAAACGGAAAAGGTTAAATATTTTTGTTCTATTGAACACTGCATGAGTCTGCTACAGTGTGTTTATAATTTTACATTGTTCAAGAGTTCCTAAATTGAAGAAAAAAGTCATTTAATGTCTTCATATTTCGTTATCGTTCCTTGACTCGTATCAATCTATTATTAAGTCATTTTAATAATTTCACAAAAGTACTGATTTTTCCTTAGCATATCTAACCTTACTAAGCTTATTGAAAAATATGTAACAATCAATAAATGGAACTATAATTTACGAACGACTTTTGGGCGATACTAAGGTGATCTCAAGAAACTTTAACCACTTACTAGAGTCAACAGATGATTAGAAATTATTGTAAGGAATTAGAATTAAGATATAGAGTTAGTTAGCAGTGAAAATTATGAGTTAGAGTTGTCGTTTTTATCATGAACTGAAATCAGATATAATGCCAAAATCTAAAAGATTCGAACTTAAACCAGATTAGCTCATCCTCAAATTATAGTCCCACCGTAGTTATCATGTTCATTTTTCCTTAATGCAAATTAGGCAAAATTACTTTACATTGTAAATTTTATTTTGTATTCGATCATTTTTCTATACAAAATCCAAATTTTAGATATCTGCATTGAAGTTAAATGAAGCTATTGAAATTTCAAAAGGAAATAACGATAATATCCCTATTTTATGGTGGAATTTAAGTCATACTATTGACCGATCATTGTTCAATACAGAATTGTTGTATTGTATGCAAATTACACTTGCTTCAGTTGTTCAATCACAATGGTCAGAAGTATTTCCACTTCACAGAGTACCAACTATTTCGCATAATATAATTCATCGAAATTCATTCTCTTCTATGCCAATATTTCTTAGTCAAGTATCGATTCCAATAGTTTCGGAAAGTATGTATTCAATAATTTTAACAAGATATCAAATTTGTTTAGTTTTTCTATTGATGCATTTAATAATCTGAGTTGATAAAATTCCTCTTACCTTATATTACATAAAATTAAATATTTCCTATGAGGTGATCGAGTCGGTTACTATTATTAGCCTTTGCCGTTGAAGTGTGTTCCCAAGCCATATACACCAATCTTCACATTAAAAATCAGTTGAATTATTTTTATACCCAACGTTCAACTTCTTTTACAACTTTTTTCATCCATTTATTCTAAGTCTTAAATCTTCAACGATCGAAGCAATAGAGATGTCAAATTCAACTATACACCATATAAGAAGTCAGCGATAATACGTGGATACTGATGATATCTCTTTGTATATCCTACCTACCTTTTAACTTAAATTAGGCACTGATGATGTATACAACAATAATGAAAGCTTTCCAATCAAACTATCCTGTTGAGAAAAACTGACATTGCTAAGAACTTAAGAATTTGTTATTTTTTTCTATAATAATCATAGATGTAAATTCTTTATTTCAACTGATATTAATGAGTGATGGCCTTAGTTATAGATAATATTTTATTACAATAACTTATATTTTTTAATGAGTTATTTACTCGATGTTTTTATATCTACAGATTCAGCATTCAATGTATACCCCAGCCTACTTATAACTACAATAGAACACAAATCTACAGGTCAAATAATCATACAAGTAGATAAGGATTCGATTTTACAAAATTTAAATCCATTTTCAATACATATTTACAATTGTACTAATTCATCTGTATACTCTGTTGAACTATTAGATCAATTATTATCGTCATCAGCTGAACATTTATCCACGACAAAATTATTCAATGATTCAATGAGGAACGTCTTGAAGAATACATTTTCAAATTGGTATCCTTATAAAATTTATGCTAATTCACAACTATCAATTATCCCACAATGTTTATTAGAATTATTATACATGGATAAAATGAATCGTAATTGTAACATTAATAATAATAATAATAATAATAATAATAATAATAATAATAATAATAATGCAGAAGGGATATGTTTAAATTTTTTACATCCATCTCAATTTACTATACTTGAATTAAATCTAGATCTACAGATGAATGATGATAATGTTAATCATGTAAAATGTCCTATTCATATAAATCTTAAAGAATTATGTTCTTCTATTCATAAAACAAAAGGTTTATGGGAAAAAGAACAATTAATCAATGATCATTTAATGATTAAATTATACTTTTCAACTAATGAAAATTCATTTGGTTTAATTATACAGTTAATTGATAATAATAATAATAATAATAATAATAATAATAATAATAATAATAATAATAGTTTTAATCGAACAACTATTGACCAATTCCTATCACCAACACTATCATTGATCAATTCATTAAAGTATTTAAATAAAATTCATTTAACTATCAATCAATTTTGTATACATTTAATAACAATCGAAAATCGAAAAATCAATCAAAAAAATAAATCATTATCTAATCATTTAATATCAAAATATAAATTTAATGAATTGTTACCACCACGAGATGAATTTATACGTTTGACAATTATCAGTTTAAGTTTTATACTGATAAAGAATTCAACATTGATCAATAATAATAATAATATTCAATTAAATAATCAATCTTTTATTATAAATAAACAATTTATTATTGAAATTTGTTTAAAACATTTACAATTAGATAATTGGTGTCATATATGGACTAATGAATATGATTTCCCAGTAATTTTACAAACAATTCAATTAAGAAAATCAAAAACTATTTGTCGAATTCTATTTAATTCATCATCATTATTAACAGTTTCTATGTTAAATTATAAATTATGTAATAGTATATTGATAAATTCTTCTTCAATCATTACTTGTTATTTATATCCGCCTAATTTAGATGTTTATCTAGAAGATTCATTGATTTATGATATTCTTGGAATATCTAATAATTTAATACAAATTTTAACGAAATTCAATACATCCATTAATAATAATAATAATTTAATTAGTTCATCATTGAAACCAATGGATCAAACTTATTTCTTATGTAGACAATTAACAATTGATTCATTTAAAATTAATTTAAGTTTACATGCAATGTTACGTTTGTATTTATCTTGCCATTCAGCTCCATTACATTTCACTTCATTTAAACTGATTAATACTCAGAATGGGTATCTTAATAATGTTGAGCATTATCATCATCAACAATATGATTCAAATATTTTATCTGGTTCATTAATTTATTGGAATTCAGTGAAATATTTATTAACAATGCATTATATTACTCAAATGTTATTTCGTTCTGGTTGGTTAGTTGGCAGTTTAGATTTATTAGGTAATGTGACTGGTCTGTTGTATTCTCTGATTAATGGTCTTAATGATTTAATACATTTACGTTCATCAAATGAGGATGATGAGAATAATGATGGTGAAAATGTTACAATGATTAATTTGTCTGATAAAAATCTATTTATATGTCAACAAAATATTGATTTCTCATCTACTGTGGCAATGTCGATCGGTACTGTTGCATCTGATTCGACTACGTTTTCATTGAAATATAATCGAAATGTTGGATTTATATATCGTCTTACTCAAGGGCTTAGTTCACTTACACGTCGAACAACTGGGTAAATAAACAATTTTTACTTACCTTTTTCAATGTATACTACAATTATATATCATATGAGTTACAGTCTGTGTGGGGGCTCATGGTACTACCCAGTTTCCCGAACCGAATCAGGTTGAGGGCGGCTCGAACCTTCGATTTAGTGAATGGAAGTCGGACGTCTTAACTACTATTTCACTGCTTTGCCATCTGAAGTCTAGAATTTTGTACACTTTCTTAATTGTATGTAACATAAAAATACATTAGAGATTTTGTACTTGGCCTGTCTATTAAACACGCACGCAAACTCAGGTAATATAACATTATTGTACAGAATATACATTAATCCTATCACAACCCTGGAATACTCTCCCTACTAACCAGGTTTAACCCCTTGAGACTTATCTTTGTTCCCTAAATGGCAAATAGTCTCACAGGGACGATCTTAAGATGATATCCCGACAATAAACCGTAAAACGATAAGGAAGAAGAGACTGATTTTTTAGCACTTGCATGTATACTTTGAACGATGGAAACGTAGACACATCAAGTTTATTGACACAAGTTGAGAGTGTTCTTGAATAGTCTTATGGTTGGGGGATAATACTCAGTCATATGTTAAACTTTTGAATGTCCACTAAAGTGCCTAAAATTTGTTATTATAAACTTATAGTTGTTAGTCTGGGTGCAACGAGCACAATATAGGACTCCTTAACTAACCAAACTAGAAAGACTTCATTATTTTTGGACGTTAAGAAAAAAACATTTACACTGCATCATTCAGGTACCTTTTCAGAATACAATACAATCGGGATTAATTGATCAGAAAGATTTGAATTAGTTGTAAGTTTCTGTTAGAAGCCCTCCAGAATTCATTGAAAAAGTCTTCTGCAACTGAAACAAGACTGTAAACTCTTTATCTCGTCAGTGTCATTTGGAAGTCTCTGGAACTTCATATCACCTTTCCTCAATACATTACTAAACAGGAAGACTGTAACCCCGTAGGACATTAATTTATTCAGTTTTTGAATATATATCACTATTTTCAGCACTTTTTAACGTGATGAATTTCACTAGGAGCGAAACGTTTGTTTATTTAGTTCATTCGACTATTTGTTGCATTTTGCTCATAACGTTTTTTTAATTAAAATACTTTGCTACTTCGACTGAGTAGTAAAATTAAGTATGATTTATTATTATATGCTCTTATGATGTATCCTTTTAAATTTCAGCACTTTATACTTTGTTGTGTATTTAATTTCAGTGGATTATTGTTGTCTATCAGTGGCATAGCCTCTAGTTTAGCTAGAAACTTGGATTATCTTTCTCTTGATCCTCATTATGAACAACACCAAGATCATATTCGACGACATCATACACCTAAAGGATTTAGTGAAGGTATTCAACAAGGACTGAGCAGTTTAGGTTTGTGTTTACTGAGCGCTATAGCCGGAGTGGCTGACCAACCATTACAAGCTATTTTTAAAACAATGGACAATACAATTGTTTACTCAGATAGTATTTTTAATTCATCTGTTGACAGTCAATCAACTCCTAATTTCTTGTTGTCTACTCTTGGTGGTTTTGGTCGTGGTCTTGTCGGAGTGGTCACTAAACCTGTTGCTGGAGCTGCAGAATTAATTGCTCAAACTAGCAAAGGTTTGTTGCATGGTACAAACAACTCAGCAGAGATAATTATACCAAGTAAATATGGAGAGTAAGTATGAATATGTTCATTATTACAGATTTGTTTGTTATCCTAACTATTGTTTGTGAAGATATTGTGCAATACTTTTTTTCAAAATCAGTAATCAACTTTGATCTACATCGTTTTGCTTCTGGTATCTATTATATGACAAATAGTAAGCGCACTATTTTTCGTTAATATACCAATTTAATATAATTCAATGTAAAACTAAACGTTTCTCGAATTGTAACGCTGTTCATTTATTTAATTTCTGACCTAATTGATACATGTTTGCTGGTTTGTTGTGAATTGACTATAAAGAATTTCAGCTCCAGTTGTATAGTTTGCTTGCATTTAACTGTTTATTTGAGCGTCTAATACACTTTTATTGGTTTATTGGAACAATCTTAAACTCTTGTCAACCATTCAGTTAATTCTCCAGTCCGAATCATTACGTTCACAGTACAGTATTTTAAGTTGCTCCTAGAATATGTTTTAGACTTTTTCTGAATTAAATATCGATATATTTTAGTTTAAACTCTCCAAACTCCTTTGCATTCACTGTATCTTCACATATTGTTGCACATGTGTGTGTTTGATAATTTGACATGCCAGGTGAAACTAAGCAGAGATTGTTTATCAAGCGTAGACATTTATGTCGAACTTTAATAAATTTATGGACTATTTTTACATGTAAAAGGTTGGATTCTACTTGGATTTCGCTGTGCTTACTGCTCTTATTTTGTTTCAGTAAATGATTGTCTTGGCCCATCATTTAAACCTTAGTTGTTGGTATTTGTGTACACATGATCTACTTAGGGATCCGTTTATTGCCTAATTTATTTATCAGGTTCCCAATCGACTAATGATTCTAGTTATTTAGTTCATCATGTGTAAGACCAAAAAACACATTCCTTTTTGCTGTTATATCATAACTGTTTTCTTGTATTTTTTGTAGACCATATATTTCATCTGAAATCGGTTTGCGTTTACAATATCAAAATGTAGACGTTATGATACTCCGTTATTGGGGATCAGTTGCACTCAGATATGTACAGTCAAATGTTTCAAATTCTAATTATCATGACAATGAAGACTTATCAATCTGCTCTTGGTTTACTACTGGAATTTATAATCACAATAATGAAAATTACTCTATAGCACAGTCACATATTGTAAATGATACACTTCTTTGGATATCAGCATCATTAGATCCGGTAAGTCAACTGGAATTATCCGTGACAATTATTGATCAAGCTGTATATTACGTATGAGCTCTTTAAGTTTTAGGTGAAACCCTTGGTCGCGTTGATCAAATGAGTCGAGAAGAAAAATATAAACAAAATGTGTGGTTGCGTATGATTTGGTTTGTGTGTGTATAAACAATAATTGTATGTCTATTGTTTTCATCGCTTCGGGCATTTTAGCAGTACAACTTCCACTTTATTTTGAAAAATTCTTTGTACACAATGTCTGTACTGTCTTAAACACGGTTCTTAAAGGTATATACCGTACAAGGCTTTTAATTGGATGCAAGCTTGATTTTCCCTGACTCGACATTATATACCAACAGCTGTTGGGATTTATACGAATATTCGTCAAGATTAGAACGAATAGTTTGACAGTAATTGAGCGCCGAGTATAGAGAATACAATATATGTGAAAATTATATTTGGAATATTCTCAGCGATTGAAATTTAACTGATTCCAACGTTTCGTCCAGCCAACTTCTTCAGGGTAATAATCGAAATTGTGTATTTTGCTCTAGCAAACTGATTCAGATAGTTCATTCTTTCTCTTCTTAATTTTCTATTGATATTAAACACCCTTCATTCCCTTCCACCTTTTCTTTTGTTCTTCTGCTCATTAATTTCCTCTCTTTCTATCTCTTTCCTTATGATATATGTGATGTAAAATTTAACAACTTGTCACTGACATATAACTAATCTAGATTCTAGTTTGTTTTCTATGAGTCCATAATTTTGCTATTTGTATTCTTTCTCAATGCCCTAATAATCTGCCGTATAAAATAAAACAATAAATAAGATAACCAGCGAGATAGCTTGATATACTATACATTTGTGGTGTTCAGCTTCCAATTGTTAAGTCATAGGTCCGAATCTTCCGTTCGATCTACTTCAGTTTGAACAACCGGGTATTATACGAATCTTTGTCTAGTAAATGAGTTCATCAATCAAAATAAATTTGTGTTAATATATATATATTTTAATCAGTTACTCACTTCAAAGTAAATCAACTAATGAGATGGAATTTCTTCTTTTAGTCATCGAATACCAACCAACAAACTAATTAGGTGTTTGTTATAGTTTTTCTTTATTGAATTCAGTTAAATGTAACCTGTATTACTGGATATTTTACTATCTAAATATGTCCTATTTTGTATTTCAGAATATTGTTTACGCATCTGTTATCACAAATGAAATTAATAATTCTTACTTCTCATGGTTTGAACAATTTCCTAATGAAGTTTTGAGGCATTTCATTGACAATATCATCGGATTCGACTCGAAATTCGTGGAAATAATTGGTACTTCTGTTAATGAGAAGCTTTCATTAGTAAATACTTATCATAATTCCGTCAGTGATATGAATAGTTCACTCAACAATCGGCCATTCGATATTTCCATCAATGATTCCTGGAAATGGATTGATCATATCCAATTCACTTCATCAAATGACATACACTGTTTAAAATCAATTATTCAAAAGTTCTGGTTGATAGATGAAAGATTGAAAAAATCGACTCATCAGAATAATACAGAGTTAAATTCTAGTTCACTTCAAGAACAACATACTATTCCTGATAGTAATTCTGTTGATTCAACGTCAGATATGAATTCCGCAGATCTTTTTTCATCCGATCGACATAATTCTAGGTGGAAACGTGTTAGAGAATATTTGATAGGTATGAGTTCAACCGATCTTATTCATGTTTAACTAGGCTTTTTGTACGTCTCTGTTCTCTTGTTGTTTCCAGACAATATAAACACTGTGATTCAAATTCTCTCGATGTGATAATTTTTTTCTAGCAAATGTGATTCTCAGATCTTAGTAATAAATTATATTTTTTTTACTATTTCTGTACATGTTTTTTCTTCATAGTTGAACATTTCTACATTTTTAAGCTTTGCATCAGTTTTGTTAAGAGTTGTTAGATAATTTACAAACAGTTATTTATATATTAAATGTTTTGGGAACGAGAAGTTTAAATAAATGGTTTAAACTACAAATTTACATAATTCTTCGATCAATTATGTGTTGCACACATATTTCTATAGATATATCAGATATTAATCGAATTCAATCTCTTTGATTATTTGGTATTTTTGCACATTTTAATTAGTAAGAGCTTGATAAAGCTAGTCGCCGTCTAGATTCAGTAGCTCAGTGGATAACGTGTTTGGTCTTCGGAGGTAAAGGAACTAGGTCCGAACCCCGATGTGGTCATTTAGGTGAATGGGCATACAACTAACGAGTCCGGAATAAGGGCGAAACGCTTGTTCTAAATTCCATTGTTATCCGTTTGTTATACGAGTAAACATAGTTCTCGAGAGGTGTTCATGCACTTGTTAATAACACACGGATTAAACGACGTTTTAGAAACATGTGAGTCAAAATTATTCGGTAGTTTATTTTATTTAATACTAAATGTTTCCATTCATAACCTTTGGAATTCTTGTAGTTAGACTATTTGTACCTATATGGTTTTAGATATTTACATCAACCTAAGTGCGGAATCGTAAAGTAAATCTCTGAATAATAAAAGCACCAAGAAATCTACTAACTACATTCAGTCTGTTTTCCTGGACTTTGAGCAAATGTAATATATTTAGTAAACTATGGAACAGCTTGGTGGATTAACTGTTATATTCAATGATATTTACATATAACTCAATAATTATAAATCCATGTACTTAATTTTGAAACATACATTTTGTGTTTGTACTAATGATACTAGTTGCCTGTTTATAGCGGGTTCGATGCCTACAACTTAGTGGCTGGAAAAATAATCCTTAGACCACCAAATAATCGATTTAAGCAATGGTCGTAATTATTTACAATCTAGTATTATTGTAGTGAACAGAACACGGATGGGGACAACCGAATGTATTTAGCACAAAATTACAGAGTTACTTAGTAAAACAGGAAAACCAATAGTAAATCGTTAATTTGCAAAATATCATTCTATCATATCAAACCGGACTGTTGCCATTGCAAACATCAATCCATCGTCTCACATTTCATTGTTCATGCAGTTTCTTACAAATTCCACTGTGTTCTCGCTGTTCTGCTGCCAGAAATTACGTTCTTTAACTCGCGTTATATACTACTTATATCAATATAAGTAGCACGCACCACAGTATAATAAAATACGTTTTATGCATTTGATACCACATTCTGCCTTCATTTGAAGACGGTTGGTCTAACTGATTGCTAGTGGCAAGTCACTTTATATTACGACTAAAGGAAAATCACTTGTTGTTATATAGATGCTAAGAGTACGTTTTGAGCAATAAATTTGACTTCGGAACTGTGATGAATCACCCAGTATTTTGAAATTGACAGTACTGCTGTAGCAAAGCGAACTTGTCAGAATTTTATTAGGTTATGGATAGCCATTATGTGAAAATTCGTTGTAATTTTCAGTATGGAAATGTGATAAGAGAACACTATTTAGTCAAGTTGTTTAGCAGTTCAACATTGGGAACCAATCATTAGATGCTGCAAGTGAAATTATTATTACATTTAATCCATTTAATTTTTAAGAGTTTCATTTTTTACTCGGAACATGTAAAAGCTGATACACCTATACTAATTATACACCACACAAATTAGAAAATAAATTTCATTTATAGCAGAAAAAGGCGTATAACCCAAAATAAATGATTAAGAATAAGTGAACGAAGGTGGTATATAATGGGAGAAATAGTTCAGTAAGGGGAAATGTAAACAATAGGAATTCCTTCAGTTAAAGAGGTTCCTCTCACTTTTATACTGAAAGTAGAAGAAAACTACAGGATGAATCCCATCAGTTCTTGTTCTGAGCAGTTTGGTAATGTCCTAAGCCATTGAACTACACCATCTCTAGGACCGAACAATGGAGTCTTGACTGACCGACATTTTCCTGTCTTATTAAGCTTTCGTTCAATTACTCTATTTTATAAACTAACTACCTCTCCACTTTTACAAACTCATTCCAGCTTCCTCAAATAATATACAATGTGGAAACCGCTGCGATGATATTTCTAGTGTTTGTCCAAATGAATGAAGCCGACTTTTCAGTATATTGAAACTACTTGAGTTACTGTCGTTGTACCTAAATGATTGCTGAACTTCACTAATACTGATGTAATGTTGTCACTGCATTTTCCAGTACCATGTGAACTCCACATAGGTTATTATAGCTTCTGGACAGACCTATATATTTATTCTTCTTGAGTCAAGTTTTCACCTTGACATTTATTCGCTTATTAATCTTGACTTTTTATATGAGCGTATGTGTGTGCACTGCTTATCCTACCATCATATGTTCGTACAGGCCAATCACTGAAATTCAACAACAGCGGAACAGATGGGTAGAGCACTTCGAGGAACTCCTGATTTGGCCGGCTCCAATGAATCCACCGGACATGGAAGCAGCACACACAGATCTTCCTATAGATGTCAATCCACCAACGACGGAAGAAATCAGAATGGCCATCACACAAATCAAGAGCGGAAAAGCAGCAGGACCCGACAATATACCAGCTGAAGCACTGAAGTCAGACATCGAGGTAACTACAAACATGCTTCACCTTCTATTCAGAAAGATTTGGGAGGAGGAACAAGTGTCGATGGACTGGAAAGGAAGACACCTCATCATGATTCCAAAGAAAGGAAACCTGAGCAAATGTGAAAACTACAGAGGAATCACACTACTGTCAGTACCAGGAAAAGTCTTTAACAGAGTTTTGCTGAGCCGGATGAAGGATGCAGTAGACGCCCAACTTCGAGATCAACAAGCTCGATTCCGTTGGGATCGGTCATGCACAGACCGAATTGCGACACTACGGATCATCGTCGAACAATTAATTGAGTGGAACTCGTCACTGTACATCAACTTCATTGATTACGAAAAGGCATTTAACAGTGTAGATAGGAGGACGTCATGGAAACTTCTTCGACACTACGGAGTCCCTGAGAAGATTGTCCATATTATCCGGAACTCATACGACGGACTACAGTGCAAGGTCGAGCATGGAGGGCAGCTGACAGACGCATTCCAAGCTAAGGTCTATTCTGCAAAAGGAAAACCTCAACCGACACGAAATAAAGTCGCAGAACTCTGCAATATTCTGAAACGTTATCTTAGCTTTCATCATGACCATAGATGCTCCCGGAAACCATCTGTCTCTGGATCGTAGTAGACAACACCGATTGGCTCTGATATCATATTCAGCGCGGAGAATCTCGAAATTATAGAAAGCCCTGCGATTTTCTGAGCTCCCAACCAATCATCACGAAAAATGTTTTGAGGAAACTTCCCATCTGGCACGCGTTAACGGGAACCGTAGCCCGCAGACATAGCCGTCTGCTATACATCACTAATGTGATTACGAATTTGGGTTTACGCTAACCCACTCACTGGATCTTCGTTATTGCAGATGATTCTATCTCAATCATCGGTATAGACCTGCTACAATATCATAATCTACTCATTGACACGCGCAAACGGTGGTTAGTAAACGGAAATACTAGTTTATCTGTACGTGTAACTGTAGAACTGTGTTCCACTTCGTTATTAGTACTGCTTTAATGATATACCTAATTCTAAAATTGAAAATTTATCATGATGTGACTACCTAATTTATAAGGTCTAAAGTGGAAGTCACATCATTGTCTACACTAACTTGTCGCATCGTGTTGATCAGCAACATGATTGGCGTTTCTAAAGATTACATTTAGGCCACAAATATAACAGTATATTTAATATGAATAAAAGCGATAAGTTACACAAGAATGGCCACATTTACAAGGCTGAGCCACACCATCCAATTGAATGAATTAATTCCTCTCACCTACTCCACTGTTGACCTTCACTTCGTGCTAATTGTTGAATATGCATTTTCAGCTTTGAAGACTGTGTGATTAGGACCAACATCGTTACTTAACTTCTTTTTCCAGATGTTGTTTGTCCTCAATCACAGTAAGGCATACAATGGATCCATAATAACAAGAAATACTCAACAAGTACCCCGAAATACACCAAACGTGACCGAAATTGCCATGTCTAACCAGCGACGTTACACATGAAATCACGACTGTAGAACCACCTTTATTCTCGAAATCTCTCCGACTGGCTCTCGAAGAGCTGAGTTTGAGCAAAGACGAATTCGAACGTATGATGGACTTAGGAATCATTTGACTATTAAACAGCCCACGGTCATCTCACTTGTGCATGGTCCCTAAAACAGGAGGCAGTGATTGGCGTTCAACTGTTGACTATCGGCAACTGAATGCGAAAACCATCTCTGATCGTCACACGTCAATTCACCTTCACCATTTGACAGCTACCTTGAAAGGTACGACTGTTTTTCCGAAGGTTGACTCGGTTGAAGCATATAACCAAATTCCCATTGCTGCTAACGACATTCCCAAAACCATTATCATCAAAACTTTCGGTCTTTGCTAATTTTTCGGCATGCCTTCCAACTTAAGAAACGCTGCACGAACTTTCTAGAGATTCAATGATTACGTTTTTCGAGGTCCCAACCTTGTATATGCTTATGTTGGTGACTGCTTGGTTGCAGGTCCGGACAGAGAATCTCATCTCCAGCATCTGGACCTATTTCTCGAACGACTGCGAAAACACGGCATTATTGTAAACATTCGGAAATATTAAATCTCCACTGACTCTCTAGATTTTTTCGGATATACTATTAACGCTCAAAGCATCCCACTTCTGCAAAGTAAAGTGGTGGCCATTCTGGACTATCCAGAACTGACCACAATCAAACAACTCCGCATGTGTAACGACCAAGTAATTCTCTACCGACGGTTCTTATCAAATTGCTGGTCTCTTATAAAACCTTAAACCGACCATCAGTTTGAACGACGTTGCGAATAAACACTCTACACTGTTAAGGAACTCATTGGCGAAGTAACATTGCTTGCGCACCAGGACACCAAAGCACCCACTAGTATCGCAGTGGATGTGTAGAATTATGGTATACTATGATATTAGTACTGCTCTAATAATAGACCTAATCCTAAAATTTTAGATTTGTCATGATATAACTGCCTAATCTATAAGATCTTACGTGGAAGTCACACCATCGACTACACCAACTCACTGTATCGTATCAATTACCAATACATGATGTAGAACAAGGTTAGGCCAGAGAAGGAACAATATATTTAATATGAATAGAAGATATAAGGTAACATTCACAGGGACCACGCCTGCATGGCCGAGCCATCCCATCCGATCAACTCAGTCCATTTAATTCGTTCCTCCCGCCTTTTCCATCATTAGGTATTTCTCAGCGTTAAATAGTGAATATCTATTTCCCGAGTTACCTCGTGTTCAGCTTTGAGGATTGTGTGGTTATGGTCTAATGCCACTACAGATTCATCCTACTCGTCAATCGAAGGAGTCTTATAACAATGAGTTAACCACACGTGGCAACCTTTGCATTTACCTCGAGACGGTTGCTAAACACAGAATCGAGGTATAGCAATTTCGGTTGGGAACACTTAGCTATGTGTTGTGCTGTACGGCACGTTCAACGTTCCGTTGAAGGTCGAAAATTCACTATTTACACTAACCACAAACCTCTTGTCTTCTCCCTAAGCTCACTTTCAGACAAGAGCTTACCTCAAGTCTCGACAACTGGACTATATTCCTCAGTTTGCTTAAGACATGCTACACACTTCTGGAGCAAACAATGTAGTTTCAGATACCTTGTCTCGTACAGCTCTCTTGGACAGATTCCAAAGGATCAAACTTCTTAAAGTCACTCAGTTTCAGATCCTTTGGACGAGTTGTCTTCCACAACCCTAAAACTGCAGATCGAATAGATGTGAACAGGTGAGAAAAGTTTATTGTAAGACACGTCTACAGGGAATGGTTGTCTAATTGAGCAGAAACATTATCTATGTAATGTCTTTAACCTTTCTTATCCAGGTGTTTGAGCAACCATCAAGCTCATAGCAAGACAATTTTGCTGGAGATATATGGATAAACATATGAGGTGGTGTGAGCACTCCTGTGTAGGAAATTTAGGGTTAGTTGATACAAGAAATATCTCTTAAGTTCATTCAAAACTAACGACACTCGTTTTGACCATGTTTATCCTGAATGAGCGGAATTCCTACCGGATTTAACTAGACACCCTTATTCCTATACCTATGCAGACCTTTTCACGTGATGGCCAGATGCAGTACCTGTCAAAGCAATTACTACTGAAACGGTTGTTTGTGTATTCGTCGAACGATGGGTAGCAAACTGTGATTGCTCTTCAACAGACCATGGCGTCCAGTTTCAGTCCGAACTTTTCTGTTGTCTTACTAGACTACTGGGACTTACATTGTTCCGAACGACTGCTTACCATCCACAAGTAATCGGGTTAATAGAACGTTTTCACTGACAGCTGCGAACGTTTCACAGAGGACCATCGCTCTTCCATTCGTGTTACTCGGTTACCATAATGTAGCGAAAGCTGATATTGGATACACTGCAACTCAACTCGTTTATGGAACAGCACTTCGACTTTCAGGAGAATTTGTGGATCTTTCGTCTATCTCCAATGAATATGAATATAAACTCCAACACGAACAGGCTTACAAAAGCAATGCGTTCAGTCAAACTTGCTTCTACTCGACCGTAACCAACTGGTGTTTTCGTTTAACCTGGTCTACGATATAGCATACACGTCTTCGTACGTCACGACTCACTTTGACGACCTCTCTAAACATCATACGAGGGACAATTCGAAGTTCTTCAACGTGAACCTATGTATTATGTTATCGATAAGAACAGAATCAACGATAGCGTCAGCTTACATCGCCTCAAAGCCGCGTATTTACAAGGAGACCCTATTCATGTCGATTTTCCCATGGCAAAATCGAAGGACGCGATTTTCACAATTACGACATCTCACCCAATTATCAACAGTCACGATGACGCTTCGGTGCTATCTGATAAACGACTCAGAACAACGCGTTCCGGAAGAAGAGTAAGGTTGTCACATCACCTAGACGATTACTACACGTGAGACACTACATAGCTTTTTCTTCCTCTTGATGTATTTTGTATTATTATGTCCAGAGAAAACGCAAACAAACTATTTTTAATATGCTTATATATATATATATTTATTCCGAAAATACAAAACGATTTTCCGTGGTTAATATGCTTGCTTGTATATTTTTTTCTGAAAAAATAAAAATAAATTCTACGAAAATCGTTTTCACCCTTTTGTATGCTTATGAAGCACATGTATATAAGATTATTTTTCGCCCGCTTTACGTTTCTGCGTATATATGAGTGTAGTTCGACATGCACTCACATATCCTCATTTCCTTTTTCAGGACAGCTGAAAAGGATAAAAAAACGACAAGGATTATGATGAATTGAGATTTCCATTGTACCTGTTTTCCATTACTACATTGTAACTTATGGCCCCTTATAGTAAGTAAAGACGACTAAGTGCTGATGAATATAACAAGCTATCAGAAGAGTGTTTACCAACAACAATCTCGTCGGGTTTAAAATTCTGACTGGCCACGTCTTAGGGTTATCACTACTCCGTTAGGGGGGAGTGATCTGTAGCGGTAAATAAATCTACAAAATCAATACCTCTGTAAGTATTCGACATCTAGTGCTGTCTGCATTTGTTTTAATAGACTCACCTAGCTGAAGGCGCCCTACCACTCGTTCACACCAGATCACTAGTGGGTACACCGTGCTTCGCATCTCCTACAACCGCTAATCAGCTTGGATTGATCACTTCTCGACATATCAATATTCTTTCAAATATACCTTCGAACCTCTTCGCTTATAGCTTTCGATTTAACTGGGTTAGCACATTTCATTTATAAAAGATATTACTATTTAAGGCGTTGTCAAACTCCTAATACTTGTGCCATCTTTAGGTAAATATATTTTATGTGAATATTTTTAGTTTATACATCACGAACACGCTTGCGTCGCTGAGACATCACACTATCGATCAATTGTTCACATGTTCACCATTTTTGACCTCACTTTGCTATGTACTGAATGTATATCTTCTCAGTATATTCAAAAATCATACGGTTGGGAAGCAATACCATGATATTATAACTCACATGCTAATAAAAATTACCTGCTCAATGTGGACCATGATCTTAAGCTTTAAAAAATACATGATCATATATGATGAGGCATTATACACTAGACTTAATATACGATCTTTGATTCTATACCTTGGGTTGCATTGGATGCAACAACCCACATACAATCTGAAACTACCTGTTAAATTCGGTGGGTCCGTCGAAGTTCATAGTCAGCACCTTTAGATTTGCTACGCATATTTTGGTTATAAAATATTACATTATTTCTAGATAGTATTAACTCTCGTTAAAAATACATATTGTCACACACTCTAATTTTAACAGAGCGGAAGTTTCCTCTCTTTGGTTAAGATTCCTTTAAACCCTTCGAGCTATTTATGTTGTGTGCGCGCTGGGTTGAATCCTCCGAAGGTCATTAAAACAAGGTCATGGGTGGTAAAACCAAGCCATCCTCAGCTGGCAAACCTTTGATGGGTTATGATGAGATAGTTATTCAAGAAGATGACTCCAAATGTTGTTCGTGTACACCGAGTTGGGTCAAGACATTTTTAATTTTCTTCACTGCAATTATCTTGGTATTTTGTCTTCAAATATTTATATTGGCTAGCTGATTGCATTAGCTTTAATCGGGTTGGGAGTTTTCCTCCTAGTTATTCGTTTGCCCTTTGTTCCCGTGCTGCTGGGTGAAATTGCTTACTTAAGTCATTTTCTAATGTTCGTTGTTGGAGGACTTCTGGTGGTCGTGTGCATAATTGGATTCATCGGAGTTTCAAATGGAAAGTCCACTCTACTTTTGACAGTAAGAATTTACAGCATTATTCTACTTATAGTTTGCTTGGATATTGTTCATCATCTTATTAATTCAATTCACTACTGGTATTTTGGCTCTGTGTTTCTCCAATATTCTGACTGAATGGCTTGCTGACAGATTGATGCTTACCATGCAAACTCTGTACTTCCGCGACACTGATGGTGTTGACGCTGCTGTAGACCACATACAACAAAAGTTCAAATGCTGTGGATCAAGGAGTTACCGAGATTGGACAGATAGCATCTTTCAAAATTATTCGAAACGAAATGAAATATTACCATATCCAAATTATCCACTAGTTGTTCCTGATTCATGTTGCGTAAGATCAGTTAAAAGCTGTGGAACACTACCGCACCCATCGAATGTTTATAATGAGGTAGGTGTTATATATATTTGAACACAAATATTTGTACAAAAGTCCACTGAATAAATATGCGCCACAGTCACTTGATGTGTGTGTGGGCTGTGTTACTGCCGGGTGCCCAGACCTAAGCAGGTGGTTTTCGTATTGGGGCACACCCGGGGCTTTTGACATAAAGCTCTAATCTACAAGGCAACAGAACTACGTTGAGAGATGCATTCTCATCGTTGCTAGTGATTAATGATAGGTTAAAGTGCCGGACATTCACTTTTCGTCCCCTCAATTTCGTAAACAACACCCGCTTCTCGAGAAGGCAGTGAATAGGAGTTACCTGTCGGTGGCTGTATACGCGTGGTCATGTGAGAGCATTTCTAGTTCATTTTATTTATTTATTTTAACATATAGATATTGGTACAAGGGGGGCACCAAATACATATGCGCCACACAAATCTCACTTGATATGTGTGAGGGCTGTGATACTGCCCGGGTACCTAGACCGAGGCAGGTGGTTTTCTTGGGGGGTTACACGCGGAGCCTTCGACCTGAAGGTCTGATCCACAAGGCAGTGTAGCATCGTAAGGAGATGCAGTCCCATGGTAGCCGGTGACCAACGATTGGTTCATACGCCATTTGTTCCTTCAGGATACTGGAGCGCATGTGCATAATCGGTTTGGAATTAGTATTTTCCAACTCCCCTAGGTGGAGTCTCTGTGTCCACCGACCCTGTTAGAGCGTCGAATATTCACTTTTCATCCTCTCAACTCCGTAAACAACAGCCTTGTCGCGAGAAGGCATTGAATAGGAGTACCTGTCAGTGGCTGTATACGCGTGGCCATGTGAGAGCATTTCTAGAGGGAGAGCGGACTCTCCCCAACCTCGGCCATATATATATATATATATATATATATATATATATATATATATATATATATATAGACAATACATTTGAGGATAGTAGAAATACTATTTTCGTCAAGTTCCACAAAGTAAAAATTTAGATTTCTGATTCTTCGTGGCTTGATGTACACAACTTCTTTGTCAACAGTCTACCCAGTACTCAGTTTATTCAAAACTACTAAGTCAAACCTTAGTAGTGACATATCTCAAGATACTACATATTATTATATTGTATCGGTCGCTTTTATCGGTCACAGTGTAGAACCTGGCACTTATGTACGTCAACTCAAGTTGCCACACCCCATCACACACAGACTAATGTAGTTGTCAGGCCAAATCCAAGAATAGTAGAGATTGTAACAACATCATTGGTAGTACGAAAGACTAGACATCGAATATACGGTTCGAGAAAATATAAATTAGTAAACTAAAAACGAAAAATGTTATGAAGAGTCTAGAATCTGATAATTATGGTAAGATGAATAACAGATGTATCTGCACTATTGTAAGTAATTTTGAGCCGCCATTCAAAGTCTGTGACTACTGGTTACGACAGTCGTGCGGACCCCAGCCAGATGGTCTACATCTGTCAATATGGCCCTGTCTAATTTTCAATGACTTCATGGACTAAGGCCACATTTTAGCTTGCCCGCTCCTAGCCTTCTTCCAATCTACTGCTGCACCAGACTACATCGGCAGTCGAGGTAAACAGTGGTTGGGGATAAGTAACACATGCCCCAACAAACTCACTTGATCGATTTCCCATCTTTACCTAGTACTCTATTCCTAACCTAGGGATTCCTTACTCTGTAGTCCCAAAATATATGAGCAATACTTCGAAGACACCTATGATCTAATGTCAGTAACCTGCGAATATCTTTTACTCTTAATGGCCTTGTTTCTCATCCACAAAGTAGAACGGAGCGAACTGTTTCGCAGCAAACTCGCCGTTTGATTGGAAGACGTCACAAGTAATACAAGTCTGGCAAAAGCCAATGGAGCTTTATGAATCCGTGCCGAGACTTCATCAGACACCAGGTCATCAAGACTGGTGATAATCCAAAGATAAGTGGGGTGGTCAATGCCTTCAGTTACTTCACTGACTATCAATAATTCAGGCGATGACTCGAGCCAGTTTCGAAGTAAAATTTTACATTTGGAGGAAGAGAGCTGCTTCCTGAGTATGTTTACATTGTTGCTTTAGGTGGTCAGAGGACTGCATTTCGTTAGCGCCCTCACCAAACAGAACTATGTCATCTGTGTATTTTAAGCTGACCACTGTATCTCCTGGTAAAGGACCAACTACTGAAAAGTTAGAGGATAAAAGTGTTATCTCTAAATCTGTGTCTACAATAGAGCTAAATAAAAATGGAAAAAAGCGGGCAGCCCTAACAAACACCACTTGAAGTAACCAATCCTGATGACAATTTCCCATAAGTCCTGACTCTACCAGTAGTGTTCGTGTGGAGAGCCTATACAACGTTAGTGTGATTGTCATGAGACATTTATTGTTTCAAGGTGCAACTACCACCTACTTACAAATATCATGATTACTAAATCTACCGAATTGAAAAATGTTCGGAAACTCGTCTTGTCATGCCCCAAACAACAAAGAGCGACAGTAACTTAGACTGATAAAGTGTCTAACGATTGTGAGTAGCTGTGGACAACGAAAGCAAAATAGATAGGAAAAGCGCTGTATAACACTAAACAACTACTCAGATTGATCAAAACACCAGGTATTCGAAAGTCAGTTGTTAGTTAAGCTGTCTCTGTAAAAGATGAAATAGCGCTCTATCCGCAGCTCAGACGTTTAGAACGATGGATGAAACACTTGAGAACGGCTCAGCAGGGTCTCACTTACTCCCTGCTTCCAAACAACTTGGATAGAAAATTGTCACAGGTCTCACGACTTTCAGCAAGGTTGAAAGGGTCACATATAACTAAGGTAGGGAGAGCAGTATGATTAAATGGGTTAGACTCAGTGTTTGTTGGTGGTGGTCCAGTCTTACCGTCTAAGTTGACTGGAATATTAGCTAGACTCAGACAACTAGGCTCAATTTCATCTGGCTTATCTCGATCGCTGATCACCCTAGTTTATACGAAAGAGCTAAGATCATGCGACAACCAGCTTAGCGAATACTCGCGTTTAAGACGTAGTTCTACATAGTCATTTGATGCCTAATTGGAACTCGGAAGCAGCCGATTTTACACCTAGCTTTGTTTATTGACCAAATGTTTACACTTCGCCAAGTTTTAGAAATCAGTTACACTGAGGCCCTATCATGACCGTATTCTTTATTCGAAAGACGCTATTCGACTGAGTCGATCGGAATGTTCTGCGGTAAGTTTTCCACTGAATGATGTACCGAAAAAGTACGTAGACCGTATAAGTCGTTCACATATGTGCGTTAGCCTAAGTCCCCATACGATACTAGTACAACGCGATGAAATTAAAATAATGAGTATCGAAACAAGAAATAAGATGTATAAAGGAATACCGGAGCTCAAGTTTTAGACGCAAATTTTTTAATGCTCAGAGGTTATGGTAGGTCGTCATACCAACTGGCAGCGGTGTTGCTCACTCTCCATTTTCGTTTCATTTTGTCATAAAAATCCTAGTGGTGACGTCCTCACCTGGTTTCATGATCTACCAGAAGATTCGCTTACTGAATACCCAGATGACATTGTTCTTCTTAGTGAAGACCTTGACGAGATGCAGTCTTGTAAACACCTTGAGTAACAATGCAGGTTTCTTTAAGATGTTTCTCCCTTTCCAAATAAAGAATGCTGCTTCGGGTTTTGGATGAGCCAATAGTTTGTGTCGTCACAAGGAGTGAACGCGTCGACCACCACTTACGTCCTTAAGCGATCCTAACGAGACCTCGACATAGATTCCGAAAGCCCGCTTAGCTCTCGCCAATTGGCCACCTGTAACGTCCGCCAACGAAAAGACAAACATATTGCACAAGAACCTACTAGTTGTTATCCTGTGGGTGTGAAATACAGTCCATTAAAGTTGAATATATTCCTAGTCTCTCAGTATCTGACCCAAGGTGTTTTCGAAGCGTTGTTCGCGTTTGGTAGGACGTTACGGTTTGGGTTCTAGACATTTTTCTGGGCGAGGTAGTGAAGTGTTGGCTGTGCCTGAGTAACACACCTCGACGCGCTAGGGTAACTGTTGTCATAAAAAGTTGGGAGGAAATTAGGAAGGGCAAGCGAAGACGTAGTTAATTAATGGAGTCAACGTCCGCACTAGTGCTTAGAGACGTTGGGTGATATGGGATATCCAAAGTCAGCAAATAACCCCAAAACAAATATCTGGCCCCCGAAAATAATGGACATACAAACAAATCCCTTGTATGCAGACTCAAATTCTAATGTAGTCTTGGCTCACACTTTGCCTTTAGATCACAAAATACTGCTCGAGACGATAGAATAACGCTACTATTAGTTGGTACAGTCATAACCGCTTTTTTTCCAGGGATGTATGGAGTCGATACTTCTTAACCTACGTGAACAGTATTACATAATATGCGTGGTAGTGCTCGCTCTTGTTTTTGTGGAGGTAAGTTATATTTTGACCTGTACAATACTTGATTTTAGTTCTTCGGCGTGATACTTGCATGTTGCTATTCAAAGGCACCAAAGATGGACCGTTAAATGCTGCGCTTCAAAAATCTTAGTAATTAATATTTTCGACAAGTTTATTGACATTCATTTTTAATGTACAGCTTTCTTAAAATATATAATTTTTGCACACAAGTGAATTTTGTATTAATACAGGATGACTCGAAAAGGCGTTTTATGCATCTCCATTGTATTCCGCCCTAATTTCAGCACCATACTCTCCATACTGCCGAATCATATCATCTCGACGGCGGTCACGGCGCTTATGATCACGATCCCGCTCATCTGGACTCCGGCGTTTTCGATGTCGGTCTCGACTCCCTAAAAAAGTTTAGCATAGTTTAGCATTGTGTACGTGTATGTGGTTAAGATCAGTTAACTTTCAAAAACATTGAACTCACGGCTACGACCGCGTCGATCACGTTCTTTTGATTTACTCCGAGATCGACTGCGCCTTCGTCTGTATTCTTTGTCGCGATCACGAACATGTGCACTTGAGATAGGTCGACCGAAACTGCGATCATGACTGGGATCACGTCCATTTTCATGTCTGCGATGAGGCTTGTCAGTTGGTCCTTGGCGATTCTTACCTAAGCCCTTGCCTATAAAGAATAAATAGCTCAAATATTAGTTACGAATAATCCCTAATGATGGTTTGACAAATATATTCAAAACAGGAGACTTGATAATGATAATGTGGTTCGAAAAGTGAAGGACTGGAGCTTAAGGTCGAAAGGGAGGTAAAAAAATAAAAGTATCTAAGTCACTGGTTAGATTTGGCCCAAGGCCTCCATCTACTGATTACGATCATCATGCCACCTGAATTCGGCATTTCTAAGTTTTGCAATCTAGTAAAAGCAACATCGCGGAAGCATCGATGTCACTCGACGCACTAGGACACGAAAAGTATGAATTCGACTTCTCCGTCAGGTTGTGTGATGCTTAGATTATAATTACATCAATGGAACGCACTTAAGACCCACTCGAATAATGATCCAGAAAACGAACATTCAAACGCTTATTTTGTAAGATCAGGTTCCCACTGACTTAAAAAGATTTCTAACGAAATATTCAAATACAGTTACTACTCCTATATTGTACTGTAGCCGGGACAACTTCGTTTCGGTTGTAGTAACACAGACACTCAAAGTATCTATAAATTTACTTTTTATGACTACAAAAGCGCTTGTCTTTGGCGTGAAGATACTTAATGTTGGCTAGAAATTCCAGGAATACTGCCTTTATTTAGTACACACTGCATATAATAGTGTAGTCAGATGTCTATTACGAAAAACGCAGTAATTCGCAACGTGGAATCTTGAACACATGTACATTGGTTCAAGTTGTTACGTCACAGTAGTAAGAATATTAATGTTAATAGGAATGACTAAGTATAAAAGAGAATTAAAGACTAATATAATTAGGAAACTTATGATCTAACGGAAGACAAAAAATCAATCGACCTGCACCATTGCAAATGATTTATGAGCTGTCACTATCTCTAACTGTTGAACATCAGTAACGTAATAGTAGTGATTTTATAGGTCCGAAACTTTATTTCCTAGAGTATTACGCATTAAGAACTTCTCTGATCACGGGGCATTCTAGAATTTAAAAGCTGATAGGATTACAGATGATAGGTACTTGGAATTTTCATCACTATTTAATAAACTGAATCAAAACACTTCGAAAATCGATCGAATATCATGAAGCAGTGGGTAATGTTTAGACCATACATTAAGTACTGGACAGGAATGATGTAAGTTGATGACGCTCAGAACATTGACCGATTGAGTTAGGATGTTTTCTATCTATTTTCAACCGCCGTCTATCTTGCCAAGTTATGCTTAAAAGTACGCAAACTTAACGACAAAAGCACTGAGTTTTCAACCATCAAAGCGTGAGGTGACAAGGCTTAACACTGCTGAGGGTTGAAAACAGTATGTGCCCAACATAAATTCACTGCCTAACCGAACGTTCAACGGTAGCTGAAACAGAACTAGATTTTACAGAAAGGTTGGTCGTGAATTCACTGACTAGTAATGTTGTTTCTGAAACTGGATGGTTAAATTGTAGTTTTCGTCTTCCTAGATATCATCATCAACATGCACGTCCAAACCTGTGCTTATAGGACAATTCGAAGTCTTGCTCCTGAACTACGAGCATCCATTATCTTTTAAGTCAAATTAATTACTATTATATTGGGAGTATGAGATAGGGCTGAGATCAGACCTTAGCAGTCATAATAAAGCTTTGGATTTTTCACACGGAAAATATACCTACACATCAAGTAAAATATTTGTGACCTAAGCAATTTGTAGCAATGAGGACTATGCATAAACTAACATTAGATAAATGAGGGGATGTTTATTTATGCTAACCAAGTTGTGACAATACTCCTTAAGACAAAATCTGCAAATCAAATTGAAGATGCGTTAGTAGTGAAGAACAGTTTACTGAAAGTAATCTTGAGCCTCTTCTGAGATGTTGCAGAAGCAAAACGCCGTAAAATCATTAGTCTTGAGTAGGCCGAACTACCCGACCGTTGTTGCTACCTTGACGTGGTGGCCGGGCTTGCCTATCGTGATGAAGCAACCGAGCTATACTGGCTGGAACAACTGTTCTTCAAGGTTCTACCATGTCAGACAGGTCGGTTGATGAGCGGTAAGACTAAAAGCAACAAACCCAAGGTCCGAAGGCGAAGTCGTACTGCTGACTGTACAGAGGTGTGACAGTAGTAAGTTGTTTCCTTCAGACAACCAGCATGACAGCGATGCTGCCTTCCCACAAGGAGGGGTGAGGCTAGAAAAGGTCGACCCTAAAACTGCACACCTCGCCTTATCCCACGGATATCCGTCTCCGACGGTAAGGTCCTAAAAAGTACGGAGCTAACACAAAAATTACCCATAAAAATGTCGTGTGACCGACCTCAAGCAGTTGTCCTTCGGGCACTGCGGTCACGCTCCAAGGTCACTAAGACCACCTCTAATCCAATTTCCTTTTCAGGTACCTCTAGAAAAACTCTTCCACGGTGTGGGCAACCGGGAAGTGCTAACCGCCCTCATACCTCTAACAGCACTCAAGACCACTGTATTCATAATCAACCTCCGTCTTCACTTTCTATTATTCATCCTACATCGACTTTCACCTCTAAACTTCCTTTTTCGGTTTCCTCCTCAGATATCACCATAGCCAACGATTCTAGCGCTCAAAACACTGTCACAGGTCTACTGAAACCTCGCTCCAAACTACACATTGGAGCCTTCAACGCACGCACCCTATGTCAAATCGGTCAACAGGCTTCCTTCGCTAGAACCTTAGAATCTCGTAACAGTGTGGTCATTCACTTGACCTCACCTCGGGAAAACGGAGAGCCAATGAGATACATCCTCCATGTATCTGGTGACCCAACGGCCAGCTCTCGTGGACTGGCAGGAGTAGGCATAGCACTAAGCATGAGGGCGGAACAAACACTGTTAGAGTGGATCCCCGTTAACAGTCGTTTATGTGCTGTTCGGTTAAACGGCTCCGTAAGAACTCGGAAGGATAGGGACACACGTTGCCTTTTTGTCGTTTCTGCCTACGCTCCCACCGACTGCAGCTCAGATGAAGTGAAAGATGAATTTTACAGAAAGCTATCTGAACTTCTCCAGAAAGTTAAACGTTCATACATAGTACTCGTAGCAGGTGACTTTAATGCCCAGATAGGTAGTTTAAACCAAACAGAAAGGCATTTAGGTGGGTATTTTAGTATTCCGGCACAACGAACAGATAATGGTGATCTTCTGCTGAAACTGTGCTCAGACAATCGTTTATTTTTAGCAAACACAAATTTTAAGCATAAGGAGAGACATCGTCTAACATGGCGACCCCCTACACCAAACCAACGATGGACTCAAATAGACCATATTGCCATCAGTCATCGTTGGAGAGGGTCGGTAGAAGATTGTCGCTCATTCTGGAGTACCTGCTTGGACTCCGACCACGCCCTAATACGGACACGCATCTGCTTGCGCCTCACTGGACGCAAAAAAGCCACAGTAAAAAGACCCATTAGAACTGAATTGAGTAGCGAGAAAACCAAAAGTAGGTTCCAGGAAAAACTGAGGTCACAATTAGATAGTTCTGAAAACGAGGTTGACCCAGTTGTTGCTTGGAAAGCCATACAAACAGCTGTGGAAACAGCAGTGACATCTATTAGCGACTTTAACCACAGAGTTACAAAGAACCAGTGGATTTCTTTAAAGTCTATCACACTGATGGATTCTCGCAAACTCGTCCCACCAGGTTCCGAACATGATGAAGAGCGACAACAAATCAGATCTAGGTTAAGAAAAAGTCTAAGAAATGACCGTGAGCAGTGGTGGGCAATGAAAGCAAAAGAGATGGAAATGGCGGCGGCTATAGGGAACACAAGACAGCTCTACAGAATAATAAAAGAAACTGGAATTAATAAGTCAAGTTTGAGTCAGACTATTTCGGAAAAAGACGATACTCTCATCTGCTCCCAGTCCAGACGTTTAGAACGATGGGCGGAACATTTTAGGGAACAGTTCAGCTGGCCTTCAGCTACTCTACAACTACCCTCCATTCCCAGACAGTGTGAATGGAACATTGAAGTAGGTCCCCAAACTCTAGCAGAAGTTCAAAAGGCAGCTGGTCCAGATGGATTGGCTCCATAGGTCTTTAAGGATGGTGGTCTAATTTTAGCGATTAGGTTGACTAATATTTTAGCTAAGATCTGGGAGTTAGACGTTATTCCATCTAACTGGTCACAGTCACCTATCGTCACAATATATGAGAGAGTTAAAATCATCCTGTGACAACCATAGAGGGATTAGTTTAACTAATATAGTATCTAAAATACTAGCCTCGATAATTATCAGACGCCCAACTAAGACTCGTGAACTGCAAACAGGAGAGAATCAAGCTGGCTTCAGACCTGGTTGTGGCTGCATCGAGCACATATTCACCATTCGTCAGGTTCTAGAACACAGGCATACTTATCGACGTCCGACAATGGTGGTCTTTCTTGACTTAAAAGCAGCATTTGACTCGGTAGACCGCGAGATTCTGTGACTGTCATTGAAAGGCGTACCCCAGAAGTACATAAGCCTTGTGAAGGCTCTTTACTCGAACACTACCAGTCGACTCAGAGCTTATGGAGAACTGTCATCTGCTTTTGCAACCTCAAGTGGTGTCCGTTAAGACTGTCCACTTTCTCGATTTTTGTTTAACTTCATCATAGACCTATTGATGGAAATAACATTCTCGTCGACTGAGTTCTCGGGGATTGATCTCCTTCCAGGAGGTCCACTTATCGACTTAGAATACGCAGATGACATAGTCCTGTTTGGTGAAGACGCTGACAAAATGCAGAGTCTTCTGGTAGCACTAAGCAACAATGCCAGAATGTTTGGGATGCGCTTCTCTCCCTCTAAATGCAAGTTGTTGCTTCAGGACTGGTCTGCGTCAACACCTGAACTAAGGATAGGGAGTGAAGTAGTCGAACGCGTCGACAACTTCACTTATCTTGGAAGTCTGATCATCCCTAATGGGTTGGTGTCTGACGAAGTCTCAGCACGGATTCGAAAAGCTCGCTTGGCTTTTGCCAACTTACGTCACCTTTGGCGAAGGCGAGATATCCGTCTATCAATAAAAGGACGAGTATACTGCGCGTCAGTCCGTTCTGTTTTAATTTACGGCAGCGAAACATGGCCATTAAGAGTAGAAGACACTCGTAAGCTACTAGCATTTGACCACAGATGCCTCAGAAATATTGCTGGCGTCTGCTGGGATCACCGGGTAAGTAATAGCGAGGTTAGACGCAGGGAATTAGGGAATGATGGTAAATCACTTGATGAGGTTATGAATCTTCATCGACTGAGATGGTTGGGCCACGTGTTACGTATGCCTGAACACCGATTACCACGACGTGCAATGCTAACCGGTGTTGAGGATGGTTGGAAGAAAGTTAGGGGCGGCCAAACCAAAACGTGGCATCAGTGCTTAAAGTCACTAACTTCAAGTCTTAGCCATGTTGGTAGATGCAGACTACTTGGTTGGGGTCCGCGTGACTGTCGTAACCGATGGTTGGAGACTCTTGGTGACATGGCTCAGAATCGATCACAATGGCGTCGGTGTATACACTCTCTATCTTCCCTTAAACTAAGAGATTAAAATTGCTTCATATCTTTCTTTCTACGAACTAATTCTTTCTTCCTGTACCATATCCTTATTGCAATCTTTCTTTTATATATTACCACCTCTAAATTAACTACTTTTATGAATCCGGTGTCCATCTTGTTGTGTTAATGAGGTATGGCAACTTGGACCGATGCATATATGTGCCTGGTCCTACGTTGTAGCTGACTGACTGAGGCCGAACTAGAATAAAGACTCAACAAACATTCTGTAGGCTACTAGTTCAGGTGAAAAGATAGTTAACCGACATGCTGAGAATTGTAGAAACCAAGTGATTGACTTACGATAGCAGTTTCTATGAGTACATAAATAACTGACTATCATAGTGTTCATATAACTTACCTAAACGCCTAGGCCTCCAATCAGGACGAGTCCTTCCCCGCTCAACGTCTGTCACAACGCGGACACCATCGATTTTTCTGCCATTTAGGGCTTTGACGGCGGCTTGAATGTTAAAAGGATTGTACATGACAATACAAGCACACAAAACAGGTTACACATGAAATCTCATTATTAGTACAAAAGAAATCACTTAAATATTTGGGACGTTTCATGAACAATTAGAATACAACACAATAATTTATAAGCAAACATATTGAACCATTTCCCTTTATTTGATCCTTTTTCGGAAGTAGTTATTACCAGATGAGCGGCTTGCACTAACTTAGAAACTCACCAAGAGTATCCTTCCTTCTATGCACAGCTACGTAGAATGACAAAGAGCTTCAAACAAAGGTGTATTTACAAAACTCTATTTCGTTCAAGAACTGGGACTAATATATCAGTTAACCAGAAAAGGTCTGCCCTATGGTAGCAACAAATGTGGCTGACCATTAATTAGTAGCTTACCACACAAACAAACCTAAGCCAGATTTTCTGTAGTTAAGCGCTTGGCTGAAAACCATGATTTTAAAATGCAGTGCAGGCCATTCAAAATATTTTGAGGGTGAACACAACTGCACGTTTACGAATAGATGCCTGAAGAGAAAAGAGAACAAACCATACAATGAAGGCTATGAAGAGCTAATTAACTATTTCGGCCTATAAACATGACACCCCTACGAATCACCACACTGAAAATGGGTTAACTAAAGATCACTGAGCAACTGTGAGCGGTGTTACAAAGTAAATATGGCAGCTCACCATGCATATCACGTTCATGTTCAAACTCCACAAAACAATATCCACGAGGCTTCCCCGTTATAACATTCTTTACCATTACAATCTACAAGCCAGTATATAAACCAAAGATAAGGTTACGTTGTTAATCCTCCCGAAGACATCAAGTTCCCGCTTTAGTTTGGATTCTGTGGTGTCATAGTTCTAGAAAGTCATAATGGCATGTTGATGACTTACAAGTCTGGCTACGAACATCGTGTTGTAAGGATTAGAAGTAGCCTTCGGATTTTTCTTAGGATTCCCTAAACAAAATCCATTAAAAAAAATCGGAATCCAACGTACATAATGCGAGATCTTGTTCAAGTTTATAATTGGCTTGCTCTTGTTTCTCTCGACGCTGTAGGACAAATAACATAACACCAAAACTTACTTTTCTTTCCTTACGTTCCTCACGAGTTTCTATGCGCACTGGGGCCGGAGTTTCAGACGCATCCTAACAAAAAAATAAGTGCTTATAGAACAAGGATAACAAAAGCATGGAATCCAACAGAAGAACCTCAGTACATTTGAAAGATTACTACTTAACATTAGTTAGAAGCTTACTTCAAACTCTCCCAAGAATTGAGCTACACCGGTATATGGTAATTTCCTATGATTTGCATGTTTCTCTATTGGTGGGAGGAAAGGGATTGGATCTCGTGGTGCGAAAAGCGCCAACAAATTAGGTGGTAAGAACTGTGTCATCCTCGAGGTTTTGAACAGCGCGCCTCGATGGTTAAGTCACGTCATAAAACGAAAGCAACTAATTTAAATAAGCTCCAAAAGAAAAACAAATGAATATATTAAGTAATATTACACTGTTTCTTTGCATTACTCAGTGAATCAGATCTCACGTAACGAGTTTCAGCTGAAACTGAAGTTACTATAGAATTGGATTTTCCTTAACCTTGTCTTACGTAGATAAAGTAGAATGCGGTCATCTACTTACTTACAAATTCATCTTTTCAAAAGAGATTTCACACTTTTCTTTTGGTTTTTTAACTACTCAGCTAGTCATCACAATTTGTTGAACGTTTAGCCTAGTCATGGTCATTGTACGATTCTGATTGGCTAGTTTTTACATCTGTGCCTAAACATGCGTTTTCCCTTTATGGATATCCCAAGTCTTTATGTTTCATATTTTGTTCTCACTTTTGTAACGAGTGACTTTTAAAGTTATATACTGAGGATTAAAAAGACTCACAAATCTATTCATTTTTAATAAATCACACTTGAGAAATTAATCTCCTAAGACGCCGATAACTGTGTTGAACACTTTATTCACATGAAATCAACAGAAGAATTTCAAGATCTATGTACTGAAAAAATTCAGCAGCCACAAAGCATAATACACAGTTTACTATGTGTCGTTGTGTAACAGATCAGATAAAAACATTTAATTTTGGATGTTCTCATGGACAACTCAAAGTCAGAATGACCGATCAGCGCATTGTGATTAATGTTAGTGGTCTTCGCTTCGAAACTCATACTGACACTCTAAATCGTTTCCCAAATACACTACTTGGATGCCCGTTCCGAAGAAGCCGTTATTATGATTCTCTTAGAAATGAATATTTTTTTGACCGCAATCGTCCAAGTTTTGATGCAATACTCTATTTTTATCAGAGTGGTGGAAGACTTAGAAGACCTGTTAATGTACCAATAGATGTTTTTACGGAGGAAATAAAATTCTATGATCTAGGGGAAGAAATTTTCGAACGTTATCGTGAAGACGAAGGATTCACTAAAGAGGATATCCATATTCTGCCTAAAAATAAATTCCAAAGGAAAGTTTGGTTACTTTTCGAATACCCCGAGAGTTCAACTGCAGCACGATGTGTAGCTATTGTTTCCTTATTAGTCATTCTTATATCAATTATTATATTTTGTGTTGAGACACTACCACATTTTAGGCACTATGAACTTCAATTTATCGAAGATTCTAATGAACTACCAATAATTTCTGCTGTTGATACTCCTCAAGTTACAGGAACACTATTTATTTTAGAATCTATATGTGTTGTATGGTATACCTTTGAATTATTAATACGTTTTGCAGCTTGTCCACAAAAGTTAGCATTTTTTAGACAGGTAATGAATCTTATCGATGTGGTATCAATTATTCCTTATGCTATTTCAATAGGGGCACTTTTAGCTGAAGCTAACAAAGGCCAAAATCAAGCTATGTCATTAGCAATTTTAAGAGTGATCAGGCTTGTCAGAGTTTTTCGCATATTTAAATTATCACGTCATTCTAAAGGACTACAAGTTCTAGGGAGGACACTCAAAGCAAGTTTTCGTGAATTATGTTTACTTTGTTTCTTTTTATTTGTTTGTGTGGTTCTGTTTTCGGCTGCAGTTTATTTTGCTGAAGTCGATGCTAGTGAAGAACAATTTCCAAGTATTATTGATGCATTTTGGTGGGCAGTAGTGACAATGACTACAGTAGGATATGGAGATATGAGACCTGTAACAATGTGGGGAAAGATTGTAGGTTCAATGTGTGCAATTGCAGGTGTCCTAACTATAGCACTTCCTGTACCCGTTATTGTATCAAACTTTAATTATTTTTATCATAGAGAGTCAGAAAGTGAAGAACTAACTACTTATGTCCATGTCTCAGATGATCAAAAGGGTTTTAATTATCCCGATAATAAAGCTTTAGGTAATTTTCATGATGAAACACTTGAGGATAGAAATGAAGAAAAATACAAAGGAAGGAAGGCAGCAGTAATTTTACGACAATCTTTTTCACAACCATCTGATCGTGAAAGACTTTCTTCTGTATTAAGTAGTACTTTAAAAAATCTTGAAGTAGAACATGAGGAGGTATCCAGTTGTATAGATTCATTAGGTGAATTAGACAATCTATGCATGGAAGCAAGAAATTCTCAGGTGAATACAAATCAAGCCTCTATATCATACAGACATCATCATCAAGCTTTTCAAGAGGTTATGCAAAAACACGATATGCAAACACAGCGATTTAAAGATCTATATCCTCAACAACTGATAGCATCTAATAACAAAAGAATTTCACTTCTAACTCATTCAACAGTTTTTCCAGAAGAATCTTGTTTGAACAAAACCTGATATATATATATATATATATATATATATATTCATTGATGTTTATCATGTATGTTCTGTTGGTTGTTACTTCCCTTATTATTCGGATCTACTAAACTGTAGAATTTATAAATATTGGATACACAATAACCAAGTCAATTATATATTTACACAAGTCTTCAATATATATATATATATATATTTGTTTAAAACTCCGGTGTTTAAATGAACGACGATATTTAACATATTCTGTTATGAAATGTTTTTATTTGATCAACATCTAATGAATAAGAGAAAAGACTTAATGTTAAAAAGATCAATGTATTCTTCACACACACACACACACACACACATACACGTACACTTTCCTCTTCATTTTATAACTTCCTGAAATGGAAATTTACTCTATAAAAAAGGTCAGTTGGTTGATAATTAATTTTGTTTCTAAATATTTTCATAATATTTCATTCATTATTATATACATCACTTGTTAAAATAGGTATTAATACTAAGATTGAATTTGATAGTTTCAAATAAATTGACCATTAGTTAGAGTTAATTATAAATATGTTTTTTTTTGTTATATCCCAATGAGTAGAATAATAAGAAAAGTGTATTTATTATCAGTTCATAAACTTTCTTTTTTATATGATGACATAACAACAAAAAAGTATCTAAACTAATGAGCAAACTATATTGAAACATATTGAATATATTTCATACTTATTTTATCAGACATCATCCCCCAACTCATTATTCATATGAGAATAATTCTATAGATTATCTCTTAAACATACTAATTGTCAATAATACGTTGTTCTTTTTTTCTTTTCAAAAGATTGATTTATGGAGGTGAACAACTGATGATTCTTTTATTCTTTTTGTGACAAATATGATAATGAGGAAATAATAAATTAGGAAAAAAATGGATACAAATTAAAAGCGATAGTAATAACAATAATAGTAATATGATGTTATCGATATTCTATCAGATGTGTAACGAACAAACCTACTAGATAAAATCTTTATTGGGTTTGAGAATCTATTGATTTCTCTTTAATTAGTTTGTCGTTAGTTTTTCTCCTTTTTTTTACTAGATGACTGTAATATAACTGCACATCGTTAGATAAGTTTGAATGTAAATATGTATACGTGTGAATGTTAGTATGATCTTTATTATCTTAACATTTAATGGATACAGGTCATGCTTCTTGTTATTAGGGTATATAATATTTATCATTATTGATTTACAAGGCTTAGTTTATCATCCGCCCATAATGAGATTGTGTGAGAAGTCATTGTATATGGTTTATGAAAGCGATATGTTATAAAATTAAACACTTGTTTTTGGTTTTAATGATAACTTACTAAGTAAGGTTATCATAGTCTTAACGATTCTTTTGAGTCACCATTAAAATTCACACCTCTATAGACTAACTCCTTAAGACCAAAGCAAGATGAGACCTGAATACTAAAGTTCACTGATAATCAAATTATATTTCTCCTTTTACATTAATCTAAACTGTCAGTCTATAAGTTATCCTGACTGATGTACTGGACATGTGTCATTCCAATAACTTTTTGTAATCTTCATTGACATATAATATTCAACATTAAAAATGCTTATTAAATAGCTATTGTTTTTTAATAAATGAAACGTGCTGACACTTTTCGGATAGAAAATGCAGTTAAGTAATCTTTTTTAACTCCCGATAATATGCATTAAATAAAGTAAATTACTCCGAGTTTCTCTTCAAAGTATTTGAACTATGAATTAGTCAGTTTTTTTTAATATTTGGGTGATTCGTTGTTTGTACAAACTAATTCAATTCATAATTTGATTTGATATCAGGAAGGATACAATGCAATGTTAATTGTCGGTGATTGTCACTAGTTACTGTTTACAAAGGCAATAATTCCTGCAAATGCTAAATACTTTTATAAATGACTATTTATTGATGAGACTATTATATCCATCGAGGTTTCCGGTCGCCCTACAATATTTGACAATTAAGATACGAGTGAGCTATTCTAATACGAACGGTTTTATGGTCGGCTCTATAACGGCAGCTGACACACAATAGCTCAATAATTATCGGCTAACGCAAGATAAAAATGAACTGTAAGGGAAACCTGATGTTCAATCAGAAAAGCCTGAAATGGTACAACTCAGTATACACAGTGACGAGATCATAACCTTCAAGCACATGAATTAGCGAGTTAAAAGTAATGGCAGCCAGTAAGAAAATAGCAATAGTCATGAGAAGAACTGAATTAGGAATAAAGACATTCGAGGTTATTGTTCGTACTAAAACTTTTGTTATTATCATTAAGAATTAAGTAATTCCATTATCGTCTTAAAAGTAATGCTTGAGATAACTAACAGCATTAATATTCACCTTAAATATTTATTCTTGGCATGTGAAACCAACTAGTTATTGATTCACTTACCACAGTTAAAAGCCATCATTTTATGCAAAGAATAACCATACATTTTTATGCAACTATCTTTTAATCAAAGTGATTTGTAAATGTTTTTTTATTTTTGCTAAGGTTTTACTCACAAATTAACCTGTAAAATGATCCTTATTAAATTGGGTACAGACTACTTAATTAAAATTATTGACATATTCCTTTTATATCAAAACACAAAATTGTATATGAACGGAAAATATTATTGACAATAGATGCTCATCGAATTCAACTCAATAACCCAAATAAATAACCAAACTTTAGATAAACACATTTTTATAAAACGGGAAATCTGAATTTACAATAGTCAGTTTTCTTACTTGACTTGTTGTGTTCTCTCAGTTTGACAGTTCAGTTGTAAAGTTTGTATTGCCTTCCTAGTCAACATTATCAGTACACACATGTTTTTGAAATAGTGTTAATAAAGCATAAAAATTAGTGTATTCAGAGATAAGTCGTGATTTGTTTTTACTGTATAAATAAATTCACCTCTATCGCCTTTAACTTTCTTTCTTTGAACTGAACCATATCAGTTGAACGGTGGAATAATTATATGTAATGTTAACAAGTGGATCTTACCAAGAATTATCAGTATAGGGTTGTGGAGATTATTAAGTTTTTGATTGAGATCATGAACTGATTGATGTTAGATGACCATTGAAAACCTGGAAGCACTGGACGGTCGTCCCGTTCTATTGTAGGACTCCTCAGCAGTGCGCATCAACAACCCCACTCACGGGATTCGAACCCAGGGCCTTCAGTTTTGCGCGCGAACGCTTAACCTCTAGACCCCTGGGCCAGCATTTAATTGTGTTAATGTCTAACTTCAACCAATCCACGAAATTGCGCGACCATCTTCCATTGTACTAAGGTAGACACCTGTCTCTACCCAACACGGGTTAGCTCCACTGGTCACGGCTTCTCACTAGAACTCTGAGAATTCCATCACGAAGCTAGTAACTAATGAACGCTAGTGACGAAACGGCCGTCCAGTGCTTCCAGATTTTCAATGGCGGTCTAACATCAATCGGTTCGTGATCTCATTCAAGAACTTACTGAGAATTCTAACTTTACACGCTGTCATTTTTAAGAGATGTATTTACCTTAAATTCGACTGTTCATTAAGATAATTTATTTGAACTTAAAGCTGAAGAAGTTGATGAGAATTTATAGGAAATAATATTCTTCGTTCATAGATATATGTTGTTTGAAGATAAATATCCATTTTCCAATGTCCAGTAACAGTGTAATATATAACATTTTCTAGCATATTATTTAGTGTTTCAGTGCTATATATAAGAGTGTAATTGTCACTAGGGACTTTGTTGTAATCATCCAGGGCTATCTGTATATGTTTTGTATGAACACGCTACTGCAGCGCGTCGCAATTAGCTGGATGAAGAAAGCAAATTAAGTAAAAGTTGGAACCTAAAATTAAATCTTCAGTGAAAGTTATGTTCTCATATGCACCATCCACACAGTAAGCGAAGGGAAAAATGCTAGATATCAAATAAATACCGAACACTCAGAGGTGGAGATGCTACAAATTCACAGACACATATCCTATCCCAATATATCTTTGTGTTCGGTGAAAATAAATCTTAAAATTCTTGAGAGTAATAAGAAATCTAGTGAAGTGGTCTCCATTCAGCAAATTTATTATGAGGCCGTAAATTTATATATATATATATATATATAATATATATATATATATATATATATATATATATATATATATATATATATATATATATATATATATGGGTTGTTACTATGATCGGGATGAAAATGATTGACGAAAAACGGTCACATAATGTAAGTGATTACAATACAGTTAGGTCGGTTAACTTCTACAACATGTGGATAAGAGTGACGTGTAAAACTAACGGCCTAATAATATATTGTATGATGAGTTAGCTAAACTGGTTGAAATAACCTTTTTTCATATCATTAGTTAAAACAAAGGTTGTCATCATGTTTCTTCAGTGTCAAATACTTAGTCTAACATTAATATTTGAATCGGATTTCTATCCCTTTCGTTTGTAGCGCAATTCCTAACCTCTATCCCTGATGAATAAATTGTGTTTCAATGTCTTATCGATGTATTCTCTAGTGGTCAACATTTTATCACCAGAAAAATTAAAAACCTAGTGAGAATATCACAAACAATATTAAATCATTCAAATTAGTGATTAGATAAATTCTATTCATCAATTCATTGATCAGTTTATCTGTATAAACGTTTCAAGACGACTAATATTTATTACGTCTCAGTAAAAAGTAATGGTATGAATTTCATTGATGCTCATCTTTAAAACTAATCAATAAGGGAATATACTTTTGCAGATACATATTCTGTTGAATAAGTTTTTACGGAAATTACCTGTTGGCTTATTATGGATACTGAAATTCACCTATATCATGTCGGAAATGAAACGGGTCACATCATCGCACTGTGATACTACTAAAATTAGAGATATAAACCGTTTGAATACTAACTCAGTAATACAATCATCATGACCTAAAGATTCTGATCACAGTTCTCCTGGTTG